ATAGATAATACCATTTTCCATCCATTCGCGTAGTTCAATCTTTACAATGGTATAGAAATTGATTCTGGTGATGTTTAAAAAAAGAAATTAATTTTAGTCAATAGCTATATATGTAACACTATTTAGTAAACTATCAATCGCTGATAAAATTAATTCAAGTATTTACATATGTTTGAAAATAATAACTGATAAACACTGATATATATATATATATATATATATATATATGTGTGTATGTTCACGTAGATGAACACAGCTTGTATATTACGTCCACATACATATACAGTATATAAAGATAACATTAGATAACTCATTTTGTCAAAAAAATAAAACATTAGATAACTCATGCTTCTATTTAAGACTTTGTTTTTAGCATGTGAATTGTCAAACATCTTATTAAAAAATATTTATTTTTTCTAAAAAAAGTTTGAAATTAAAATTTTTAAATTTAGCTTTTTTATACTTTAATCTTAAGGTCTATAACCAAAAAAATTAAACATATTTAATTTTAAGATTATACTTACTTTTAAATATTCATTATTAACATTTCGTTTTGAAGATGCCTGAAAATAATTTGAGAGTACATTAATTCCATTGTACACAATTCATAACCAGGTTGTAGGATCTAGTATTATCTGATTAGTATAATATTAGTTATTTTAAGTCTAAAACACTAGTCTGTCTGAATTTATTTTTGTTTTTTTTCTCCAAAAAACTTTGTATTAATTAAATTTAAATATCTATTTATATATTAGACACATTTTATCTAACTATGTGGGATTTAGTTTGTTATCTTACCTTATTAGCTGCACTGGTATGTAGACTTATTAACAAACATGTGAAAGTTTTGCAACCCACCAAAAGTAATCCACAAACTCAAATAAGCTCAGACTTTTTTCGATTTTCGGAACATGGCTGAAGCATGCAAAATTAAGGAGCTGAAATCAACAGGAAATACCCTTTCTTGGGCGGGTATGAGGGACAGACATTGGGTACAATGTAGGCTTGATCGAGGCTTTGGTAATGGTGAATGGCTCCGTCTATTCCCTCAATCATCTACGGACTATATGAGTATGTGGCCATCGGATCATCGACCTTTACGTCTAGAGTTTGCCCTTGAACCAGAGAATCTACAAAGGGGACGTTTTTATTTTGATAAGCGCATGTATGGGAAAAGAGGGGTAGAAGAGGCTATTGTTCATGGCTGGGATGTTGAAAACGTGGACTCCAATTTAAGTGTTCTTGATCGGATTGCTCGTTGTCGATCAGAATTGTCTAAGTTGAAAAAGACGAATGATTGGAATTCAAAAACAAGGATCGAACGGTTACAGATGGATTTGGATAAAGAGAGCTCTAAGCAATTTCCAGTCTATGGATTGGTTAGGAGATTGCGGCAGGAATTGGCTGCGGCATATCGGGAAGAGGAAATTTTCTGGAGACAAAAAAGTAGAGAAGAATGGTTACGGGAAGGGGACAGAAATACAACATATTTCCATAATGTGGTCAAAGGGAAAAGAATACGAAATAAAATTCTTATGCTAAAAGATTTGTTTGGAAATGAGCATTTCTCTGAAGGGTCTAAGGGACATATTGCTACCGAATATTTCAGAGATTTGTTTACTAGTTCAAATCCAAATGATTTAGAAACTTTGTTTGAAGGTTTTCAAAGCAGAGTCTCTGATGATATGAACACATTGTTAACCAGAGAGGTCTCTCAGGAAGAAATTAAGAAGGCTGCTTTTGGTATTAAAGGTAGTAGTGCCCCTGGAGATGACGGACTTACGGGTTTTTTCTATCAAAAATATTGGCACATAGTGGGGCAGAAAATTATTGAGGATGTTCAAGGTTTTTTTAAAACAGCCATTATCCCAGCTGGATGGAACCACACACAGCTATTTCTATTACCGAAGATTTCACACCCAACGGAGATGAAAGATATGCGTCCCATTAGTCTCTGCAGTGTACAATACAAATTATTTCTCGGATTTTATGTGATCGTCTCAAGGTGGTTATGCCGGAAATAATATCTGAGACACAGGGGGCTTTTGTTGGCGGTAGATTAATTACAGACAATGTTATTATAGCGCATGAATTGGTACATGCATTGCAAACAAATGATAAAATAGGTAAAACTTGTATGGCTATTAAGACAGATATGTCTAAAGCCTATGATCGAGTTGAATGGAACTTTCTGGAAATCCTTTTAGAACATATGGGTTTTGATCGCAAAATTGGTAGCATGGGTAATGTCATGTATTACTACTGTGACATTCTCGGTCTTACTTAATGGTCGTTCTCATGGATTTATCAAGCCGGAACGTGGAATACGCCAGGGCGATCCGTTATCCCCTTTTTTTTTCATCTTGTGTGCTGAAGCATTAGTTCATGTATTGAACAAAGCTGAAGCTCAGGGGAATTTGCATGGTATAAAGTTAGCTGCGGGTAGTCCTTCCATCCATCATCTGCTTTTTGCTGACGATAGCCTTTTGTTGTGTGAAGCTTCTATACGGGATAGTGAACAAATTTTGAAAGGCTTGAAACTTTATGGCGATGCGTCTGGGCAAATGATTAATCCTTTGAAATCATCCATCATTTTTGGGAAAAAAATTCCGGATGTCACCAAGCAGAATATTAAAAACATTTTGGGTATAGAAAAAGAAGGTGGAGAAGGGACATATCTTGGTCTACCTGAGTGTTTTCAAGGTTCAAAAAAGGATATTTTAAATTTTATAAAAGAGAAATTAGAAGGACGGTTGCAAGGATGGTATTCTAAAACCTTGTCAATGGGGGCAAAGGAAGTCTTGATAAAATCGGTTGCTTTAGTACTCCCAATATATGCAATGTCAGTGTTTAAATTACCAAAAGGTCTGTGTGAACGAATTACTAGTGCGATTATAGAATTTTGGTGGAGTAGTGGGGATAAAAAGAGGAAAATTCCATGGGTTTCTTGGGAAAAGTTGTGTAAACCCAAAGAACAGGGGGGCCTTGGGTTTCATGACATTGGTCGTTTCAATCAGGCCTTGCTTGGGAAACAAGCATGGCGTATCTGGAATAAGCCAAATTCTTTGGTTTCACGGATTCTTAAAGGTAAATATTTTAAAGATGGCGATTTTCTGGATTGTGGAATGGGAACGCGACCATCATATGCTTGGAGAAGTATCATGCATGGTAGAGAATTGCTAAAAAAAGGTTTATATCGACATATTGGTAATGGGATGACTTCTAATGTTTGGGCTGAAAATTGGATTATTGACACCATTCCTAGGCCCCCAATGTATCGTGAAAATAGTTCCGTAAATTTGACGTTAAAAGTCTCGGATTTATTTAGGGAGGGAACGAATCAATGGGATATGGATTTACTACAACAAACTTTTACACAAGATGACGTTCACCGGATTTTACTTTTGAAACCATCATTGGTATTTGAAGATTCGGTACGATGGGGTTTTACTCCAAGTGGTCTATATTCGACTCGGAGTGGATATAAACTTCTAGAGACTTTGGTGGATTTTGATAATCAACAGGGACATTCGCTCACTCCTATTGAAAAGCAATTATGGCGAAATGTTTGGAAGACTAAAGCTCCCCCGAAAATAAAACATTTTATGTGGCGTGCCCTATCGGGTGCATTAGCTGTCAAGCAACGCTTGAATACACGGGGAATTCATATTGATCCAACATGTTCGGTTTGTGGTAATGGGGCTGAAAGTATATGCCATGTTCTATTTACATGTAGTAGTGCACGTCAGATATGGGCGCTTTCAGAATTCCCTATACCTGCAGGAGGTTTCTCTCGGAACTCAACCTTTTTAAATTTTGTTCATTTGATCAAAATTGGTAAGGACTCAACTACGGATATACATAGGCGAAATGTTTTCCCATGGTTATTGTGGGAAATTTGGAAGGCTCGAAATGCTTTTATTTTTGAAAACAAGGATATTGTACCTTCTTTTGTTTCTAAAAGAGCCTATGAAGAGGAATCCACGTGGTTTGATACATTTACAAAACCAACGGATGTTGTGCAGACAGAAAATATGGGAAAAATTTGTTGGAAAAAACCATCCAATGGACTCATCAAGTGTAATGTTGGTTCCACATGGCTTCAATCCAACCAACTCAGTGGTGCTTCATGGATTTTACGTGATGGAAATGGATCCACCATCATGCATAGCCGACGTTCCTATTCCTATATGCGCACAAAAACTGAAGCTAATTTGTGGGCTCTTTTCTGGGCGGTTGAATGTCTACAGAACCTTCATTTCTCAAATATTATTTTTGAGACTTCCTCGGAAAGCTTACATGACGTTTTATCAAAACCTCTTCAATACCGTAGCTACAGCCTCAACCGTCACAACATCTGCTTTCTTCTTGCAAGGATAGATTCATGGAGTTTAGACCATGTCATCCCTGAACGTAATGAAGCTGCAACGGCAATTGCTCTAAGCGTAACTCGTGATCTGCGGCATCAATCTTACATTGCCCGAAGCTATCCGCCGTGGTTACATCATTTACTCACTCTGGAGTTCCAAGCAGAGATTTAGGTGAGGTTTTTCATCCATCTTCCTTAATGTCTATTGACATCTCTCCTATTTTTATTTACCATCTTTTTGTAAACCGTACGATGTTGGTTAAAACAGTGTTATAAAAAAAAAGCTCAGACGATTTCATGAAGTACCTATACATATATTCCACAAGAATCAAGCGTCATAGTGAAAACTAAATCCTACATTGCAAAGTCTCTCGATCCCCCTGAAGAAAATCTTATTAGAAGCCCATTCTTCATAGGCCCGGCCCATACCAACTCCCCCCGATCCACTTTTTGATCTTTTGTTTTCCTAAACAAAAAACATGCATTAATCGTACAGTATAACTACATCGGTAATGAGGTCTGTGTAAGAGATTTAAAAAAAAACATGAATTAATTCCTTTCCACGCTATTGACTTTTTGACTTTTTCATTTAATACTATGAAATAAAATAAAGTAATTAAAAAAAAAAAAGGGTCAGACAGTGAACAAGTCCGATCTTGTAATCAGGAAGAAAGAAACAGAGCATGTAAAAATGGCGACTTTTCACCCTCTCTGTTCTCTCTTCCTCCTCTTCCTCCTAACCTCTTCAACAACCTCCCTAACCGTCTCCTCCCTACTGAATCCCAACCCCTTCAAACCTCCTCGGATCCCTTACTCCGACCACTGCAACCACATAGTCCCCTCCTCCCCCACCGACCCTTCTCCCTCCTCCTCCTCCACCCCCGCCTCCCTCGCCTTCGACGTCAGCTTCTTCTCCGGCGGCGACTCCTTCTTCAACCAAAACTCCTCCTCCGTCGTCAAAGCCGCGACCTTTCGACCCAAATCGATCCGTAAGACATTGGGAGACGGAGAAATCTACAGAGTCGAGGCCAGATTGAGTTTACAAATCGCTAACTATGGAGGCGGTTTAGGGGGGCAGCGGAAGATTCAGATCGAGGGTCGGAGAATCCCTGTGAGCTTTATGGGTGGACAAAGTTTCGATTTTTACGGGTTTTGGTCGGAACGGACAGGGAGAGTCTGTTTGGTCGGATCAGGGCAGGTTTTGTCTAAGTTTGGGACTTATAAGTCTGTTGATGCTCGTCTCGTGCTTAACTACTCTAAAGAGTCTAATATCTACGGGAGTTTAGTGAAAGGAGTGTTGGAGAGTGTTGATAAAGAGAGCGACTTCGAAACGGTGTCGCTTCTTGGTGCGAGAACCACTCCTTTGAATTATGAGTATAAGTCGTTGGAGGGATCTGAGTGTGGGAAGAACAGTGAGGAGAGTTTGTCGTTGGAGAGTGTTGTGGGAGGTTTGTGTAAAGTGTTTGAAGGTAGAAGTCATGTTTACAAAACTACTTGTGGTGGGAGTGGGACTAACCATAGTTGCAGTGAGTACATGTCTTTGTTATCGTTGCTGTGTGATGGTGAGAAGATGCGGATGGTTTTGTCGTTTAGTAACGTTAGTGGTTTCAGCAGGTTGTTTCCGTTTGATCCGAGGGATACTTTGGTTGCAGAGGGAGGTTGGGATGTAGAGAAGAGTAGGTTCTGTGGTGTTGCGTGTAGGATCTTGAATTTTACTGATTCTTTGAGTAATGCTGTGGTTGGTGACTGTTCTTTGAGGTTGAGTTTGAGGTTTCCAGCTGCTTTGTCGATTACAAGAACGGCTCCAGTAGTTGGGGAGCTTTGGAGTGGCGAAACAGGTAGGATCGAGTTCTCAAGCATAAATGATCCGTTGTGGCGTTTCTCTGGTTTGAGGTATGAGTATACAGAAAGTAAGAGAGTGGGTGAGTTATGCAAGAAGAGGTCCAAAAGCAAAGGAAAGCATTATCCTGATGCTCAAACTTCAGACATGAGATTCGTCATGTCGGTGAAAGACTCTGGAGGAGGAGGTAATGTGTTGAGATCTGCTCGTGCAAGCCCTTACTTCGTTGGAGATAAACTGTATCACGATCTTTTGGTTCGTGGGCAAGGGGTTGGACTAAGTGGAGTCCCTATGATGAATGTTAACAGTGTCACCAAAAGCTTCACAAACATCACTTACAAGATTCGTTTCTTGAATCCTGTTACTGAATCCCGGGGTGATATCTATGCAGAGGGAACGTATGATAGGGAAACAGGTGAGTTATGTATGGTTGGATGTCAATCAGTGAAGGTAAACAGTACTGTGGATTGCAGTCTTGTAATCAGATTCAAGTTTTCTCCTATTGATTCAAAAAGCGATGACCGTTTAAAAGGGTATATTGAAAGCACACGAGAGAAGACAGATCCGCTTTATGTTGGTCGTATGGAGGTTGTGTCTAGGTCCATCTATGTTCATCAAGCTAAAGAATCTGTTTGGAGAATGGATTTGGAGATTGCTATGGTTTTAATATCAAACACACTTTCATGTCTCTTTGTTGGGATGCAGCTTTACCATATGAGTAAACACCAAGAAACACTTCCTTTCATCTCCATTGCGATGCTAACACTTCTCGTACTCGGTCACATGATTCCTCTACTGTTAAACTTTGAAGAGCTCTTCAAAAGTGGTCATAATAACCAGGAGAGCTTGTTCTTCGAGAATGATCGATGGCTTGAAGCCAAGGAGATTGTGGTGCGGATAGTTACAATGATAGCTTTCTTACTCGAGTGCCGTCTTCTCCAGCTAGCTTGGAGTGGTAGAAAAAACGCTGAGGATCATCACCGTGACGCCGTGTGGGATGCAGAGAAGATGGTGTCTTATGTGTGTTTACCACTCTACATAACAGGTGGATTGATAGCTTGGCTAGTGAACCATAACAGAACTCCTAAAAGAGTTGTTTACATAGGGAAGCCACGCGCTCGTAACCTCTTGTACCGTCCAGTGACTTTAAAACGCACTTTCCAACGTCCTTCTTTGTGGAAAGATTTGAAATCTTATGGAGGTTTGATGCTTGACGCCTTCCTTCTCCCTCAGATACTCTTCAATGGGTTCAGCAACTCTGACTCAAAGTCTCTTGCTGCTTCGTTTTACGTTGGACACAGCTTTGTTCGTTTGCTTCCTCATGCTTATGATCTCTACAGAAGTCACAGCTACGGGAAGATTCTTGACTGGTCATTCATTTATGCAAGCCACAAAGTGGACTATTACTCCACTGCATGGGATATCATCATCCTCTGCATCGGTTTCGTTTTCGCTGTTGTGGTCTTCTTGCAGCAGAGATTTGGGGGTCGTTGTTTCATCCCTAAGAGCTTCATAGAGGATGTGAGATATGAGAAAGTGGTGGAGTTGCAGCAACCTGGTGAGCTACACAAGTCCAATGATTCTTAATGATATACGGATACACACATTTTTGTCTTTTATTGTTTTGTTGGTTGTAATGTATCCAAACTTTTTTTTTTTGTGGAACAGATTGTTGATTGTTACAGAGTGAATATAAACTTACCATAAGCATGTAACCAAATTGCTGAAGCTAACTTTGCTTATAATATTTTGATATTTTCTCTTGTGGATCATTTTGTTCATGCTACTAGAATCAAAGTTTACAAGACAACATAAGATTTCTATAGTTGAAGCAAAACTCATCTCTTGAGCATATCTCACATTCATGAATCCTCTTGTCGCACAACACATTTACAAATAAAAAATGAATTAAAGGTCTCGAATCTGAACAGCAACATGTTTTCTATATTTATTGAAGGTATAAGATAATTGTAATCAAACCTTAAACCTTCGATTAGTATACAAAAACGTCTGCAGAAAAAGCTGAGAAGCACCTCTAAGGAAACATTGTTACAATCTTATGATAAGTATGCCCTATCAGATGAGACATTTCTTGGGCAATTTGGAATGTCTTGAAACTGTAAGAGTTAGTGTTGACCAGGATAACGACAGTGAGTTCGTGCGAGTTGATGTGATGGCTCTTCCCAGACTTTCATCAAAGTGCACCATTCACTTCACCTGACCTTTTCTCTCCTTACCTTTTTCTTGTAGTGCTGCAACAATGATATGATTTTATTATCACTTCAAAGTTGCTTACAATCTCTTTAAAAGGATAATAGTTGTTTTCACATGGCCCTTGTGATTCTCAAGAACGAGAACTCTTAAAATGTCAAAACAAGAAGTTATTCTCGATGGTCCAAATGGATTTTCTCACCTTGTTGCTTAATTTTCCACATGAGAATAATAATAATAACTAACGTTTGAAATATTATCACAAGATTGGTCCAAGGAATATCATAGCTGTTAGTGGTCTGCCCGTGTGACCATTGTACATTCTCTCAAATCCACGCATCTGGTACCCACATTTATGGAGAGCTTTGGTTATATTTATCCACCTAAAGACACAACAATGGTCAGATTTTTAATACCAAGTAACAACAAACCAAAGCAGTAAGGAAAAATGCAAGTTACCGTGACATCTGTAAAAGGAGTTGCGTCTCCTTCTTTTCCCATGTGAGCTGCCACTTTTCCCATGATGCACTCAATGAGCTGTCAAATTGTCATCCGAGAGGGAATAGCATGCGGATTCACTATAATATCAGGAGTAACGCCTTCAGTCGTCCAAGGCATGTCCTCCTGTGTGTAGGTCATGCCAACTGTTCCCTTGTGACCGTGTCTACTACTGAATTTGTCTCCAATCTGAGGAATACGAACGGATCTAACCCTCACTTTCACGAACTCAACCATCTGCATTTGTGGTCAACAACACCTACAAGAAGAAGTTCACACATTATAAGGTTAGGGAACTTTCACAACCCCAGCTTTATATTACACAAGGATATGCTCAGATTCATAATCCAGTCCTGAAACTTTCGAAACTCTTAACTGCAAGAAAATACCAAAGTTACCTGATCAAACCATTCCAGTTTCACTATGTCGCCAAGCTTATACTATGATCACGTCTGGTGTATCGTGATGATTGTCCTTGAGCCTCATCTTGAGATATGGGAGTGGTTTTCCCAATGATTACATCTTCACCTGAAACTCTGATACCCTCTATACCCAAAATGAAATGAAATTGTATGATTCGCATTCTGGTACTAATAGCATATCAGAAATAAGCATTGAAGGAACAATAGATCTTTTACTTACAGGAGGTGCGAGACCATCATCATCCAGTTTCTCATAAGAACCATGTCGCATACCCTGTGGCAGAAACCATAAGTTTTAAACTCCACTAACAAAGGCACCACGAAAGAGAAGGTATCACAGATATATGCACCGCAAGTGTTAAATTATGTCTTACCATTGTACTTGCCCTGTCTGAGCGCCCAAAGTCTTCTTTGACAAGGGTCCCCATCTATTTCTCCTCGTCTCTGCCAGCAGAAAGAGTTGCAGTATAAATAAATGGAAAGACCGAAAGCAAAACTCCACATGGATGGCTTACTCACCTGTACGACCGAAAGAACAAGGATCTAAAGAAACCACGGTCTATTGAAGACTGATTCATGATGACAGAATCTTCCTGATTATATCCAGAGTAGCAAGAATGGCAACAATAGCATTCTACACAAGAACAAAAAGAAACTTGAGAGAACTGATACAAGAGTCAAAGCTTAATTACTTTAGCAAAATAACTCACAATCCCTGCTGGAAGTTGCCTAAAATGAAGATGCTCCATAGCTCTGGTGGTATCCAGAGGCTTTCGAGGGTCATAGAGAACATAGGCCAAGGTATCCTGGTTGACAGAACAATAATAATAAAGGATTAAAGCATGTAGTGTTATAACAAGAGATGGGAGGAAAAGAAAACAAATTAAGAGCCTAGAACATACCATGTGAAATTGGTAGTTGGTGACATATATTCCCATAACTTGCTTTCCCATAGCAGATTGATATGTATTACGGGGTGACTAATTCATCAAAATGCAGAAGTGGCAGACAAAAGTATACGAGATAGTTAGCATAAACTTCTATAGGTCATATTATGTATATGACCTGATTCTATAGGAATACAGTCTTTTGAAGTTAAGGCAACTCTGACAAAAGCCCCCGTTAATGAACGCGTGTTCTGATCTTACTCTTGTCTTGCAGATCTGCCAAAACTTCATTTTTTGACTTGCACCGATGCTGCTCCTTTAAAGATTACAAGTATGAACTTTGTTTAAACTGTTGTCAAGAGATTCACAAAGGAAAGGAATATGTGCACGGTTCAAATGCTTCAGAATCGAGCTCCACCTCCGTTCCTGAGGACAAAGATAATCCTAACCAATCTATTAAGTGGCACCCTGATCATAACGGAAGTATCTTTTTTGTATCTGGTTGTGGTGAACAAGTTATCACGGAGCTCACACGAATCTTACCGCTGAAATTTATGTCACACTTGAAACATAAAGCAAATTCTATCATGGTGTCATACAAGAAAATTCCTAGATTGTTGAACTGTAGCTGTCCTGGTTTGGAAACTGATAAGAAGAGAAAAACAGCTTAGAGGAAGGAATCAAGTGACAACTACTTGTTCTCTCCTGAATCTTGCGATGTCTTAAAAGCATTGGGCAAAAGGTGAACCAATAATTGTTAGAAACACTCTCAAGAACATATCTGGTTTAAGCTGGGAGCCAGAAGTTATGCTGCGAGCTATATGAGACTACATGAAATCATTAGGAGAAAGTTCTAGGATACCCAAAGTTGAAACAATTGATTGTTTATCTAATTCTTCGGAATACATTGAAGCAAAAATCTTCTTTGATGGTTACAAGAAAGGAAAAAGATATGGAAACTCAGGGGTTAAGATATTGAAGTTAAAAGACTGGCCTCCTAATAAGCATTCTCAAAACTATCATTAGGAGGCCGTCTTTTAACTTCAATATCTTAGACCCTGAGTTTCCATATTTTTTTCCTTTCTTGTAACCATCAAAGAAGATTTTTGCTTCAATGTATTCCGAAGAATTAGATAAACAATCAATTGTTTCAACTTTGGTTATCCCAGAACTTTCTCCTGATGATTTCATGTAGTCGCATATAGCTCACATCATAACTTTCGGCTCCCAGCTTAAACCAGGTATGTTCTTGAGAGTGTTCCCAACAATTACTGGTTCACCTTTTGTCCAATGCTCTTGAAAATGAAGAAGCCTTCCTTCTTTTAATACATCCCAAGATTCAAGAGAGAACAAGTAGTTGTCACTTGATTTATTCCTCAAAGTTGTTTTTCTCTTCTTATCAGTTTCCAAACCAGGACAGCTACAGTTCAACAATCTAGGAATTTTCTTGTATGACGCCATGATAGAATCTGCTTTCTGTTTCAAGTCTGACATAAATTTCAACGGTAAGATTCGTGTGAGCTCCGTGATAACATGTTCACCACAACCAGATACAAAAAAAAAAGATACTTCCATTATGATCAGCGTTCCAATTAATAGATTGGTTAGGGTTATCTTTGTCCTCAAAAACGGAGGTGGAACTCGATTCTGAAGCATTTGAACCATGCATATATTCCTTTCCTTTACGAATCTCTTGACAGCAGTTTAAACAAAGTTCATACTTGTAATCTTTAAAGGAGCAGCATTGGTGCAAGTCAAAAACTGAAGTTTTGGCAAAGATCACTGCAAAACAAGATGATCTGCAGTAAGATCAACTAAACTAAAATGAAAGATCCTAACTTTGTATGAGATAACGTAAGTTGCTTACTAAAACATAACGGGGGTTTCTGTCAGAGTTGCCTTAACTTCAAAAGACTGTATTCCTATAGAATCAGGTCATATACATAATATGTTAGCAGGGGTCCCTCAGAAGGAACATAAACCAAGAATTAGTAGCGGAAAATTCATACCTTGAATCTTTGCCTCCACTTCAATCTCATGCTTCTGAGCTTCAATTATCTCATTAAGAAACGGATGCATCAATGCAATCATGTACTCGAGATGATGGCATCTTTGTGAATTCGGTTTCCTCTTTGACACCTGCTAAGACAGAAAAACAAACATAATGTTAACAAACAAAAAAACCGTTTGGGGTTCTCTCAAAAACCAAATCTTCTGCAACTAAAATATTTTAACAAGATCTTAATTTATAAAAATAATTTCAATAATTTTGTATATATATCGTCCACATCTTTTCCCCACTTAAGATGTGACTGAAAGAATTTTGGAACAAGGCCTACAAAATGATCAAATGCCCCAGGAGAGACCATTCTTCCTAAACCGTTCATATCGGGCCCTGAGCTCTTAAAATCCCCGTACTTGTTGATCCACATCTGTCCAAAATGATGATCAAGAAAGCATAGCCTGTCGTACCTAAAATGCTCTGGATACTCGGAGTATCGAAGCCTCAGTAAATGGAGAAAACCATCCATGTGCTGCATTAAAAACATAACAAGTAAGAAGATTCCAGGAAGACTCCACATGGAACAATGTGGCAGTCTCTCCATCAGATTCCGTCATCATGGGTTTACTCAGATAAATCTGTCCAGAACTAATCTTGTAGATTGTCTGCAGGAAAATAAAGTTCTATCAGAGGTAGAGCAACAAAAAAAAAAAAAAAACCAAACACATTTTCCTAGTGACAAAACTGATCTGAGCTTCACCCCATCATTCAAAATCACTGAAAATACCACCTTCACCCCATCAGCTACTCGAGACGGGCAAACACTAATAATAGCAACAACAAAACTATACCAAACACATTTACTTAGTGCTAAACCTTAACCGGAGCTTCAAGCAATACTCCAAACGAATAGCTCAAACATTGAATAACAAGGAATCATTACATATCAAATATATCAGATCCTCGAGAAGGTAAACCCTAATTTCAAGCCCCCACAAACACGATAACACGCACATTGTTCAATTTCCCGCACACCCAGGCGTCCTCCTAGGTGATCTCATCATCGTCATCTTCTTCTTCTATGTAAGTGGGTTTTTGTATCTGAAATCCTCTTTGAGTGTTTGTTTATAGAAAGGTTTGAGAGAGAGAGTGAGAGTCCGTTTTGCTTATTTGTGGAAAATAACGGTTTGAGGCGATTTGATTGAAACCGACAGGTTTAATTAAAAAAAAGCGTTTAATCTGGTGAATGACGGAAATACCCTTGTTATATAAACGAAGTCACAGCTTCGGCGATACTTTTCGGGAGAAAACGACGACGGAGAGTGAAGGCGGAGGAAGAGAGAGAGAGAGAGATATGATACCTCAGCAATGGACGCCGCCGTGTGGGAGTCAATGCACGCATAAGTATGCAGCTCTTACGCAGATTCCATGTATGTAATCTCTCTAAAATCGATTGATGTTGATTTGATCCGTAATGGCTCACTTAGATTCATGTTTTAGTTATCGAAGATTAGAATCGAGAATGTGTATTGAAATGAATTGTGAACTGTTAAACATTAGGAGAATGGTCAGATATAGTTTTCCAAGTGTAAAAAAAACACTTTCTTGCTTCTTGTTTGTTAATATAAAACTGCAGGTTATGGCATGTCTCTACCGAGAGTTATTAAACTAATGAGGAAACACATGCTTGATAGTAAAGATGATTCCATATCGATGTTTGCTTCTTTGAATTACAGACATATATATGTATGCTTTAGCTAGTAAAAGGCGCTTCGTGTGGCTGTTTCTGATGAAACCTTGTTCTTTTCTTTTAATCTGTCAAATCCATTTATGGTCACAGAAGCTTGCTGAGTTTCTATTTAATCATCCATGTTTTTGTATGACACTCTTTTTTGAGAATTATATCAATCCGTTTTTTTCGTTCTCTTTTGCTTTATCAAGAGTCTAATGATAATCATGAATCCGTGTAGGGAGAGTGTTCTGCAAAAAAGGATGTGATGCCGATAGTGACTCATGGGAAGATTGTAAGCATTTCTCTCTAATCTCTGAAGTTCATAATGAAATTGTTTATGAAGTGAGGAGCAGATACATGTTTATGAAGATATCTCCTCTTTTTCAGGTTTTAATTTTGCAAGTTAATGAATTGGTGTGATAGTGTGCTCTTTATAGGTGTATCAAGTTGCAGTGAGATATGCTACAAAGACCCTGTGCTAAAAGACCGACAATGGAGTGCTTATATAGATCGTTCTCCTGGAGCTGCCAGCTACTCTGAGGTTTTTACACTACATCAAAAGAAAACCCTTTTCATAAACAGACCGAACTGTACCGTATCTAACTTATTTTACATGTCCTTTTAATATTGTAAAATCCAGGAATGCTTCCACGCGTGTGTCGCAGGCTGTGGTTACAAGGTTTTCCTATCCTTGTTTCAACCTTCATTTTAATGCGTTTGCACCAAGTTCTCTTCTTCTTAACGCGTGGTTGCGTCATTATGCAGTTTGAAGTTGAGTCGGAGGAAGTCGATAAGGTGAAACCAAAGAGACCACCACCTCCACCACCAAAGCCACAGCCACCACCACGAGCTAAAAGACCAATGCAACCACCCAGTGAGGATGTTCCTGGAACTTCTGCTTGACGTCAAACGCTTTGTGAACTAACTTCTTAAAACTCCTCAATTTTTTTGGTAATCTAACTTGTGAGGGAGTGTCAAAGCAGTTGCTCGACAATTTTGTAGCGGAGAAAAGTGTATTGGTGGGACTTGGACGGACCTTGTGACCTTTTTAGTCCATAAGGCAAATCAGTGAACATATATATTGATATGTTTTTTGCATCGTTTGATTCAAGTAACTAGTGAGTGTGAACCAACGAGCAAATAAACAAAATAAAAACTTTGTTCCAACAGTCTAAAACATGTTTACCAGATGCAGTAGCTAAGAATGAATTTGATTTCGTGACTAAAGCTCTTAGATTATCTAAAGAATCACAAATTCAATGAAGATCTCCATAGATTAATTAAATTACGTGGTATGTATTTCGGTCTAGGAAGATGCACGGTTTAGAAAAACGTATACAGTAATTAATCTGTTGTAAGTGTAGAAAATTGATTTCTTCTCGATTAAGAGATGGTGAGTTGGTGCTATCTTCTTTTCGTCAATTCTTATTCCCTTTCTTTTCTGTTCCACTTTTTTATCCTATCAACATCGGTGAGACTCCGTGATGAAAATTTGAAAAACACTGCCGACTACAGTATTTAAAACCCCACATAACAAAACGGTGTCGTTGGGCTCATCACATTATTACAAACTGATAAAAGCTACTTTACTAGTTTAACTAGAAAAGAAAAAAAGACAACAAAACAAAACACAAAAGTCTCTCTCTCTCCCTCACATGGCTCTTCTCTTAAACCGCGTTAGATCGGCTTCATCCTTCATGCTAACATTCTTCTTCATCTTCGCCGGAATATCACTCTCCGAAGCCTTACGACCTTCTGATCATGGCCTACAGTATCAATCCACCTCACCACCGACTGAATCTCACTCACCTCCCGGGGAAATGATGTCTTTCTTCGGAGATTCACGCTCTTCTCCTCCTCCTTCTTCTCAGCTCCTTCCCAAAGCTACGGATACAGACGGTGGCGATGACGACACGTGGTGGCGTGACGGAGCTGCGACCAGACGCGATCACGTGATTAGGCACGTGTTTCTTGCGGCGAGTATCATCTGCGGTGTCTCTGGAGTTGCGCTTCTAGTGGTTTTCACTTTGGTTTACTTGTTTAGGTATCGGAATCAAAATCCGTCGAACTTGGCCTGTAACGATTTAAAGTAGATACTATTCCATTTCATGTTTATACATTGATTGTTTCTATTATTATTTTTGTTTCTATATGAAATAGAGCATTTTGCTTTATTTCGACGACTTTTATGACTTGTGGCGCTAGAAATTTAGACAACTGTTACACACCCACATTAAAAAAAAAAAAAAAAAAAAAAAAAGAAAGAGTTATGATATTTATGTTGTTTCTGTTCGAATTTGAATATGTAGTTTAAGTCACTTTTCGGTTGGTAGTTGGAACAGCAACTATGCAAATAGAGTTGTCCTTCATTGTTCAAAGTTTTTCTAAATCATTTAAGACTATTGATGATAAGGTTGTAGTCTCTACTTGCGGGTTCTTTTAGTTTTCTGGAGGTCTGGTAATGAAGCAATAGTATAGTGTTCAGAATGGTGTTTTATTGTGGGTTGTGCAGGTTTTGGTATAGTATCCTTGTTAGTGTGTGATATAGTTCAGCCTTTGGAACATAGTGGGGTTGTAGTTTATTTAAGCCGGTTTGACTATTCGCCATTTTTAATATTACATCCAGATAACCAAAAAGGACATTATAATCGTCTGTTCATTTAGACAACTTTATGGAAATGGGAGGCTCGTGACAGAAAGAAAAGAAAAAACAATATAATGGGAGGTTCGATTTGTCTTAACAAGCATAATCCAATTTTATAATCATACATCTTATTTACGTGTATAAAAAGTGAGCCGTAAGACTATGATTGAAGATGAAATAATCGTTTGTTAGATGGTACCATTAAATTATATAGATGCACCATTTTTTTATTCTCCTAGCAACGGGACCCAAATATCTGATCAGATGTGTTTTTTTTCTAGTACTGTCTGGCAATTGTTTGTTGTTCAAGTAGCATATGGTATCCCCCTTTGATTTTTGACTACTAGCCAAAATTACGGAATCATGATATTACGTGGTTTCTCTTAGCCATGAGGATCTGTGAGACTTTTGATGTCTAAAAACAAAATGATGAAGGAGTTGGCTCGAATTTGATATGAGGGTTACAGTAATGAAAATGTTGAAGCCTCTACTTGATGGTTCTCACAAGTGTTCTGGTATAGTGTCTTTGTTGGCGCATGATAATTTCGCCCGTTGGAGCTTAGTAGGTTGCATAAGCCGGTATCACTATACTCCACCTTTAATATTACATCCAGATTTAAAAAAAGGACTACTATCGTCTGTTCATTTAAAGAGCTTATGAAAATGGGAGTTCCGTGCCAAAAAAAAACATTACAATTGATGGAAAGTTCTCGTTGAACGTATTTGTATATTCTTATTGTAAAAAAATTTGTCGCCAAAACAAACAATTTTATCAGCTAACTTATTGTTAAGAAAAAAAATATCGACAGCTTTATCATTTAATTTTTGTTAACTAGAAGCCTAATGTTGAATCTCAAACAATCACTTAGAAAATACAAAAAGCGACAGATGGATAGTTCAAAGTTTCTTCTATGACCAGAGCCGGACCTGTACAGATGATCATAACATTTTATTATGGTCTCGGGTCCCATATAATAATATATATACACACATATAATGAATGTAAATTGTTAAGTAAAGAAAAGCTGAAAAGGGAAAAAGTTTTGTTTGCAAGCATACATTTCTAGACGATGCAAGCGAAGACGAATATCAACCTGTGTCTAACCGCTAATCTTGCACCATTGTATCAACCTGTCATTTAGTTTGATTCAAACAGAAGAATATACTATCATAGAGAAAAAAAATACTACCGCAAGAGGCTAAGAGAAATAAACTCGGTACCTGATAAGCAGTTAGTTTTGCTTTTCCTTGTTGTCTTGGAGTTAAGTTTCGGCATAAAAAGTTATATAACAACGTATACCTTGATTGATGGTCAGCAAGTTTTTGAGTGAGTACACTCAAAACGATTGATCTCTTCCAAGATGTAAAACGGTTAGAAAACCAAAGACCATAACAAGTAGTTATAACTAACACTCTTAGTTATAATTACTACTTGTTATAATCTTTGGTCTTACAGCGTTTCACACCATGGAAGGGATCGAGTCATAAGAGAAAGTCTATTGGGGATTACTTAGCCCAAAGTACTAAAGAAAAATCCAAAAAAATAAATGGAAAAAGGAGAAAAAAGAAGAGAAAATAGTTTTTTTAAGCCAAATAGGTTTGGACATTGTCCATTTAGGTTAAATTCATGAACTTATTGTCCCATTAGGCTAAATATTTTTTAAATGGCAATAATGGCCTTAAATTCACTTAAAAATCGTTAAAAATTAAAAATAAAAATCTTGAAATCGAATTTTCCTCTTTTTTTTAAAAATCGAATTTTCCTTTTTTTAAAAAAAAAAATTAAAATTTAAAATAAAAATCTTGAAATCGAATTTTCCTCTTTTTTAAAAAAATCGAATTTTCCTTTTTTTATAAAAAAATCGAATTTTCCTTTTTTTTTTAAAAAAAAAATGGAGTTTTAAATATGGTAATAGAATATTTTCTAAGATATTCTTGCTATATTTTTAAAAATTAAAAATTAAAAATAAAAATCTTGAAATCGAATTTTCCTCTTTTTTTAAAATCGAATTTTCCTTTTTTAAAAAAAAAAAATCAAATTTTCTTTTTTTTTTAAAAAAAATGGAGTTTTAAATATGGTAATAGAATATTTTCTAAGATATTCTTGCTATATTTTCGGATCTAATAATATTTATCCGTAGAATTCAGATTCTACTAAACGTAGAACTGTGTAAAAAGATATGAAATCAGTTTCTACGTGTATTAGAACGTTGTGCGAATTTAGATTCTGACTTCTACTTGTCTTAGATTTAANTAATAGAATATTTTCTAAGATATTCTTGCTATATTTTCGGATCTAATAATATTTATCCGTAGAATTCAGATTCTACTAAACGTAGAACTGTGTAAAAAGATATGAAATCAGTTTCTACGTGTATTAGAACGTTGTGCGAATTTAGATTCTGACTTCTACTTGTCTTAGATTTAAGTACGAATTTAGATTTCAACTTCTAATCTTTTTAGAACTATATAATAAGCGTGGAATGTGTATTCCAAACTATTTTAGATTCATGTAATCTCCGTAGAAAACATATATGTAATCTCCGTAGAAAACATATTCTGCAATTGTTGATTTGTGAAAAGCGAGAGAGTGAGAGTTATATTACTCTCGTTTACAAGACATTCTCTTCTTCTTTTATCAGTTTTTTAAAGACCGGCACTATTTGGACAAAGAGTGGAGTAGCTATTTCTCTGTGAGTAGCAAAGCCAATTCTTCTGGTATCTGCTCCATTACCTATTCTAGTCCTGAGTTTGTATTTTTCTCTTTTTTCAGGCTAATGGAGAAAAGGTCATTCTTGAGGTAATCACAAATCCTCAAGCTGTTCCTAATTTAAATGGCTAGATATGAGCTTTTGATGAATAGTATTCTGAGCAATTTCGCTCTTGATTTGCAGGTTGGCTGTGGAGCTGGAAACACCATATTTCCTTTGATTGCTACGTATCCACACATATTTGTTTATGCTTGTGATTTTTCTTTGCTAGAGAGGTCAATTATTCAGCTCTATTATGTAAGCTTTTAAACGTATTAAATGGTATACGGTTTGACGTATGCTTCACAGTTGTTTGTTTACTGGCATCTGTTGAGACTTGATCAGAGTGTGTTATATAACTTGTTATGACAATCAGGCTCATGAAGAATACACAGATTCTCATGTTCCTTTTATTGTTAATTCTGAAAGACTGAGACTCTTGCATGACATTTGTTTCTGCAAACTATCTTTGATTTTGTATCCTTTCTGTGTGTACTCAGAGGGAAGCTATGGGTAAGATTATTGTATTTAGAAAAAAAAATTGTTTAAGGACCCCATGGGAGTACTCCCATTGGAGGAGTAAAAATAATTTCCACTAATCTAGGTCCTTAACTTTACAAATCATATTATTTTCTTTTAATTTAATCATAAGTACTCCATGTTTAGGAGCCATGGATGGAGATGGTCTAATTTGTTGTTATGGTCTTTGGTTTTTAAAACAAGACATCAGTCTCTTGAAGAATGTTGATAGCAGCAAATCAGAAATAATGGGAAAACAAACGAAATAGTGGCAAGACAAACGAGATGCACCCATGTTGTACACGGCAGAGACGTCCCACCGTGTCATTCTCCGGCTCAGCCACTAACGTCGAACCATCAAACGGCAGAGTGCCCAAAACAGAAGAAGATCGTCAAAGCTTCCTCCGAGTTTTGTCTACTCCAACCTCCCAAAACAAACAAAGATTCAACTCATATTTAAGACTAACAGATATTAAAGAAAAATGAAAGATAGTGAGATGACTGAGAGGAGGCAAGTGGCCTCAAAATGACACGTCGTCACTGACAGAGCTGACTAAACAACACGTAGACCTTGGATTACATCTGGCATTTTGTTTCTTGTTATAATAGCATTCTTGTATCCTCTATTGATTTGTAGCTACTATTTTGCGTTAAAGTGTTTTGGCTGGCTGTTTCTATATAACTTTACCATTAGATGTCACAAAAACATCATTAAGTATGCAAATTGTGAGTTAATTAAGTTATTATGAAAATTTTGCATGTTGTGGGCTAATAGGTGTGGGTATACCTTTTGGATTGAACCGATTATATTGAAAACATATAGAACGACTTATTGAAAGCAATCTGATCATTTAAACAGCGTTCTAATATATAATTTACCAAAAAAAAAAAAGCAATCTGATCAATTAAACAAACATATAATATTTAGGGAGACAGCGTTCAAATATATAATTTATTTAAATTAAATTAGGAATAAGATTATTCTTTCTATGGTTTTTTGTTCATCTCTCAAAGTGTATAGAACAGATGCCACCGAAAAAACAAACTTTTCAATTGCAGAACAGATTGAATTGTAACGAATTTTGAGAGAAAGGTCTTATATGCTGCTTCTGTCCATGTCTAAAATTCATATATTATCATCTCTTTCTCAATGGAATGGTTTTGTATATAAGTTGTAGATACAAAATAGAACTTTTTAACCAAACTATTATCATGTTTTAGGGTGTTTCATTATCTTTAATTAGAGTATGCATTTTTCTCCATCTTCTTTTCTTTTGCAAATTGTGAGTTTTAAGTCCTTATGAATATTTAGCATGCATAAGGACAACTCAACTCTCTTTACTTTGCTTCTTAACGAGCATAACATTTTTCTCTTTTTGATCAACCGGGAACAATATAATCTATAATGTTCTAATACATATAATTGGTTTAAGTTCTATAAAAAATAGCTTTAAAATTATGCTAGAAAATCAAATAGTATCTGACTTGGTGGCACCATAATTTAATTATAGAGACGCTTCAGTTTTTACATGTATTCTAGCATTGGGACTCATATATATATCTGATTAGATGGATTTTTTAAGTCAAATGTCTAGAAATTGTCTGTTGTTATGATTTCATGTGGTATCCCTTTGATTTGTAATCACTTTCTTCTTCTATATTACGATTTCGAAGTTCATGTCTGGATATTTCCGTGTTCACAAGTGCTCACCCCTAAAATTTTAGAACATACATTTTGAAATAGAGGAAATATATATTTAAACAGTTTCTTGAAAGTTAAAAATGTTTTTCTTCCCATAAACTTCATTGATCATAGAAACTGAATACAGCTAACAAACATTAGGATTGTATAGATGATGATAAATATACATATATATAGCTTCTCAAAGAAAAAACATAAGAATTGTCGAGGAATCGAAGAATAGTAAAAGACAAAACGTGGGTTGAACAAATACGTGAAATTTGCATTGTTTATCATCGATATTCATGCATTAGACAGTTGTCTACCATTTGACTATAATACTGCTCCAAATTCTAGAATTTCCTATATTACTAAGTAGTTGGTAGTAGATTGATATAATACACTTCTTGGTTGAAAAAACAGTAATATACTGAACATATCATTTCATCATTAAATATCTTATTTGTAAGATGAATAATAATGATGATGTATTACTAATTGTCTGTACAAACTATATTAATCATGATTCAAGTTGATAACTGTAACAAACCCCACATAATCAACATAATTAAATACTGGCCTAAGATAAATGACGCAAGACGATAGAAAATGTTTCATTTTATCAATAAAATCACGGAATGACAATTTCTTTAACACATATTATATGTAAGAAGTTATACAAATTACAAAATTTTAAACAACAATTTATGAAGTCATTCCGCGTATTACAGTGTTTTATATGTTATAGTATTGCAACTAGGCAATGCTTATCTATTATCTGAATAGAACAGAATAGACTAAGATTTTCTTGTTGGATAAATTATTAACATAATGATTATATACTACAAGTAAGGTCATGGTTCCCCACTCTCTTCAAGCCATGCTTCTTCTCCCATTTATCTTTACCATCACAATTTTTCTATACCTTGATATTTTGTTGTGTATTATGTTTGGGAAATTGTATATTTGCGAATATATATGATATATCCATCGAGGCGCTTCTCCATCAAACGAAAGAAGAGCTTACCTCATATTGGTTTCCCTCACAATAAAACCAAAAAGCGAGAGTCTCTGTAATCTTCAGGTACTTCTGATCTTAATTAAAACTCTTTTCTTATTTCTTCACAACAAAAATCATTTATACAAGTATTTTATTGGGTTTCATATGTATTATTTGAGAGTTTTAATTTTTTCACATATGTTAAAATTAAGTGTTCTTAACTTTAATAGTAACATAGATTACTAGCGTTCCTATGTTAATGAGATGGATCATAGATTGTCGAAGCTTGAGTGTTCATAAATTCATGTACTAATCTGTATCCATGGGATAAACCATCACATGCATACTTTCCTTGGTTTCTATCTATTTATGTTTTCTACATTTCTTATATTGATTATTAACTAATGAAACTTATTTATTATTTTTCTTACTTTTGTAATAGATAGGGAATAGTGCTTGTATTGAGATTTTTACAGTATAAATAAACCTTCATAAGCATTTTGGAGTTGGCTTGTGATCTTCTCCATCAACATTCAATGGCAATGAAGATGAAGGGCATCTACAAAAGCTTCAAAATGGTCTCTCAATTATTTGGTATATTTTTACCATATTATGAGTTACTTCTAATCTTATTGAACTACATTTCTCTCAAAATTTCTCGCAACTTTATACCATATAATTAGAGTTTGTAAGTTCTAGCCATGAAATAACTTATTCAAATTAATCTTCTGATATACAAGTCTAAATTTCTTAAGTGTGAGTCTTCCCAAGCAAAAATCATTTTCCGGTTCATTCTCTTAAGCCATTATGGTCCTTGTTATTCATTCACGGGAGCATATGATTATATCTCAGAGTTATTTTGATGTGATGAAATTTATTAAGAAAAAACATATAATTTGCTCAACAGTTGTGAAAGAACGAGACATGGAAATTGGGCCTCCAACAGAAGTAAAACATGTTAACCATGTTGGCTGGGAGGTATCCTCTGGCAGTGCACCAGCTTGGGTAAGCTCTCTCTTTATTTTTTCTGTCCGAAACATAGTGATATTTTCCTGCTTATGTGTCTTTAAAATTCAAATCCTTTTGGTGGGTGAAGTTAAGTGAGTTTAAGGCGGAAGCAGAGCCTTTGTCTCCAATACCACCATCTTGTTCTCATGCAAGACAATCGAAGTCTTTATTGGCCACTTCTTCATCCACTGGTAATATTTTTTTTTTAATTTTTGCATGAAATTAGCTTAGTGTAAGAATTCGAGTTAAGAGTTTTAGTCAATTGGATCGCACATTTATATTTCTCCTAAAATGCAGATTTTGATCAGAGATCAAGCCAACCATTCATCATATCAGATAGGCCAAGGGATGTGCCTCCCATTCCTGTAGGTCTATCCAAGATTCACAGTAAGAGCAAGAATAGGAGAAAGCATTCGTCTTCAACATCGTCACCAAATCCAAATTACCATCTCCAAAATCTTCAAGATCAACGGGCATCTAAATATTCGTTCAAATCAATGACATATCGGTCAAACTCTAATGCATAAAGGTGAAATCAAAAGTGCAATGAAAAAAAAAATCAAAGCTTGTGTCACATTGTGTATAGGGACATTTTGGTAGTTCTTTTATTTTCTTTTTGCTCAAAAATTTTGTGTTGTAGTTCTGGGATTTGAACAACTTACTATGTACATTGTTGAACGAAGGATAGAAATGGAATTAATATTAATTGTGGTAAGAGTTATTTAGTTCTTTCTAAAAAAAACGAATTATTTAGTTAGTTATAAAATCTTTTTCTTATTAAGAAATAAAAAATATTAGGCTATATTTAATAGCAAAATAAGAAAGTAAAAAGAAAATACGTTCTCTGTTTATAATAATTTTTTATATAAAAGTTTTAATAGGTTAATTATTAGTTTATTTTTAAATGAAATCCTATATACATATACAAATTAAAATAAATTGAATATTTTACCGAATATTAAATATTTTAAAATTGTATAATTTGAAATTAATAAAAGTCTTATTTTATTTTATTTATTAATATATGGAGTATTAATTTATAAAAAAAATAGTGTATAGTATATGATAAACATTTCGGTTTAAATGACAGATTATTTAAACCTCTTTGATAAAAGACCAACAAAGACTGTGCTTTTTAGTTGACTAAAGGCCCATTATGCCAACTCAAAATAATTTTGACTCAGTGGATATTGAAACTTCAAATTATTCAATTTAACTTGCACCAACCATAGAATCTTTAAGACCCAAGAATGAGTCTAGTCGTACAATGTTCTTGCTGTACTACTTAACCTCGTGACTAATGAACTACTACTATGAAAGAAGCTAACACTAATAAATAGCTGCAGGTTCCTGATCAATTTTAATTAAGCTCAAGCATTATGCTAATCTATAGCTAATTGTATTCTAAAAAATTCAAGCAATCAGAATCTCATGATGCATTATTGACTGACATATTTATACTAGTTTGTGTAAACTATACAAAGCGTTTATATGTCCATATGTTTTCTTGGACATATATGTAATTAATGTGCAATATGCACAACACATAAATACAAATACCTATTAATCTGATATAGTACACATAATAAGAAAACTATAACCATGAACACATACATAAGTTAATAACCCTGCAATGGCGAGCATTTAAAAAAATCCGTCATCCTCTGTTGTTTTCCTCACCCTACGAGAATTCGTGAGGTCAAAGATAAAGAGTGAAGTTTTCTTTTAAATTTTGAAAACTGATGAACTGTAACTCTCTTTCTAGAAAAAAATTCGTAGTATGAATTTTCTCTCACTAAAAGCATTAATGGACCTTTCGATAATCATAAATGCAATGCACCCTCTCTATGCATTTCGCAATAACTGCGTTCCCTTCTGCCACATCTTCACGTCACCTCTTTCTCTTCTTCCTCCTCTCCTTGGTTCCTTCTTCAGCAAATTCTCCGTTTCTCTCTTTAATAACAAAAACTCTCCCATTTTTTTCCATTTCTGAATTGTGATAACATCTTGCTGGTTCTAAGAGGACCGTCTGATAACCACCAAGTTCATGTGTTTTCTACACAAGTAGTTAGTTAGAAAAAACTTCAAACTAGGGTTTCACAGTGTGTCCAAAGGTAAGAACTGTTTCTCTCTAGATGTATAACTAATTAATAATTGTATATGTTGATGTGATTTTTTTGTTCTTTCTTTGAGGAATTGAATCTATATCGCATGTTTGTTCACAGTAACCGGGTTCGTTTTTCTATCTTTTCAAGATCTACATTTTCTTATATTTTGAAAAAACTAATGACAGTTTTTTTTTGTGCCGATCTAAAACAAGGATTACAAAAGATTACTTGTAGTTGTGTTAGAAAATGGCATTGCATCTCAACTCATATGTGTACACATTATTATCCTACTAATTAATTTTTGTTTTTCTCAATTTACTCTTTTTCCAATTAGCTTTTCACTGAAAATAGTGTTTTTTTTGTTACACTATGACCAAGGTCAACTGAAATAAATTCTACCGATAGAAAAATATGCTTTCTCCATCTCGTTAGAAAAAAATAATTTAACTAAAAAGACGTTTTGTCTTGGCTCGGTAGCCTGTGAATTTATCCATCTCGTTAGCTTTTATGTAGACAACGAAAAGAAGAGAGAGACAAAATATCATTAATTTCGATCCACATCAACAATCGAAAAAAGAGAGCTGGATGTAGGGTTTCAATTTTTAATTTTCTTATAACTGAGCTTGGCTCGACCAAATAATTAACATCTATTTTGGATTCATTCACTCTAAACAAGTAAGTTAAATCATCTAAGTTTTTGTCGTTTATGTAAGCTAATTGAAAAATTAGGGTTTCCTGGATCACAAATTCGTCACTCTTTTCTTCATAAGTTTTGTCATCCTCTTCGTTTTCTTGTAGATCTGACAATATTTGGGTTGTAACATCCACGATTAATTATATCGCTATTTTGTGTATATATGTTGATTCTGTTTTGTGTATGTTGATACTCTAATGGATAGTTATATTCTTGAATTTCGTTTAAAACGGTATGTTATAAGTGTTTTACTTCTATTTCTCTCTAACTTTCTTGTCTTATCAACATTATACTAAAATATTCATCCGAATATTCGTGTCCCATTTTTATAAGCTTAATTTCCCGATGAATTGTTTTTATATGCAACAAAGTTCTGTCATGTAGTGGGTGCATTTATATTCATACCCATTTTTGAATTGATAACATATGCTTATCTAAACGGATAGATGTAAATAATCATGTAAGATAAGATAAAAAGCTTTTCGGTTACTTATGAAATGTGAAAAAGACAAAACAAATATACACATTGAAGGTATGTATAGTTTCATAATATCTAGAGGATTACATTCCATAATAACAAGATACACCTTCCGTTACTGTGGTCCTCGTATATATAAACATGACCATTTAATCTTTGATTTTGGACAGTGGGAGATACTTGGAGTAGGAAAATCGATTTAAATCAACGAAAATGATTTGAGATTATCATCTTGTAGATTTGTAAGAAAAGCAAAAGCTCTCAAGGAAACTCCACAACCTATATAAGGATCAATATTGTTCAAACATCATCATGTACCATCCAAACATGTTCGAGTCTCATCATCATTTGTTCGATATGACTCCAAAAGACTCTGATAACGATTTGGGTATTACGGGGAGCCGAGAAGAAGATTTTGAGACTAAGTCTGGTGCCGAAGTCACCATGGAGAATCCTTTGGAAGAAGAGCTTCAAGATCCTAATCAGCGCCCTAACAAAAAGAAGCGTTACCACCGTCACACGCAACGCCAGATTCAAGAGCTTGAATCGTAAGTAAAATCTCTCTTTTGAAAAGATTTATGATGTTTTGGGGGTTTAGGGTTTATGTTTGTTTTGGTTTGGATTTGTATAAGGTTCTTTAAGGAGTGTCCTCATCCTGACGATAAGCAAAGAAAAGAGCTTGGCCGAGAGTTAAATTTAGAACCTCTTCAAGTCAAGTTTTGGTTCCAAAACAAGCGCACCCAAATGAAGGTATTTAGTAAGGCTAATTTTGATTATTTTCTCATTTTGTTACATTTGATTTGCATGAATTGGTCTCTAATCTCAAATAACATTGTTTCTTCTCATAATAATCAAATCAATTTGGGTGTCACTCCAACCACGTTTAATTCAATTTTAACTTCTTTTTTTTTGTGCACTAATTCAATTATTATAGCTATATAAAGCCTTCTTTGAACAAATGTAGTATATTAACTAGTAATTAATAACTGCATTGTGTCAGAACTCCAAAATTAATGAACTTCTTTTGTCCAGTTTAATGAAGTTTTTTTGTTATTAGGCATAATTATCCACTAAATTTGTTTTGTACTCTCGATGATATCAAACTTAAAGAAGAGAATGTTGTGATATTTATAGGCACAACATGAGAAGCACGAGAACTCGATTCTGAAGTCAGACAACGACAAGCTCAGAGCAGAAAACAATAGGTACAAAGATGCTCTAAGCAACGCAACATGCCCAAACTGTGGAGGTCTATCTATAGGAGAAATGTCATTCGATGAACAGCATCTAAGGATTGAAAACGACCGTCTACGTGAAGAAATCGATAGAATCTCCTCCATAGCTGCTAAATACGTAGGGAAGCCATTGTTATCTCATTCCTCGCCTTCCACTCAGCTCACTTCCTCACACTACATTCCCTCTCGCTCGCTTGGTCTTGAAGTTGGTAACAATCAACAGACAAGTTTCGTTGGAGAAATGTATGGAACAAGCGACATAATGAGGTCGGTTTCTATCCCTTGTGAGGCTGATAAGCCTATGATTGTTGAGTTAGCCGTTGCAGCTATGGAAGAGTTTGTGACAATGGCTCAAACTGGTGATCCCTTGTGGGTTTTAAATGATAATTTGGGTGAGATTCTCAATGAAGAAGAGTATTTTAGAATGTTCCCTAGAGGTATTGGACCAAAGCCTATTGGTTTTAGATCAGAAGCTTCAAGAGAGTCTACTGTCGTTATCATGAATCATATCAATCTCGTTGAGATTTTAATGGACGTGGTACCAACATGTTCCCCTTAACTTATTATCTTCTCAAACTACAATATAGGTTCCAAATTCTAGTTGACCCTTTTGTTCTTCTTTTTTTTTGTATAGAACCAATGGTCTAGTGTGTTTTGTGGGATTGTATCGAGAGCCTTGACGCTAGAAGTTCTCTCAACTGGTGTCGCAGGGAATTACAATGGGGCACTACAAGTGGTATTAGAACATCTTTTCAATTACTTGCTTCACAAGCTATTACTCAGAAACATGTTTTAATCATAAACTACTTGTGTGTTTGATATTTTTTCATGTATGTGAAGATGACAGCTGAGTTACAAGTCCCTTCACCACTTGTCCCGACACGTGAGAACTACTTTGTGAGGTACTGTAAGAAGCATGGAGACAACACTTGGGCGGTTGTTGATGTCTCTTTGGACAGCCTACGACCTAGTCCTATCACTAGAAGCAGAAGAAGACCCTCTGGTTGTTTGATTCAAGAACTACAAAATGGCTATTCTAAGGTAAATGTTTTTTAAAATATATATATATAGAGATAAAAGTTAATAGATTGATATTTATCAAAAGTAAATAAATATTTTTTATCGGAATTTGTTGAAGGTGACATGGGTAGAGCATATGGAGGTAGATGAAAGATCGGTTCACAACATGTATAAACCATTGGTTAATACCGGTTTAGCTTTCGGTGCTAAACGTTGGGTTGCTACACTTGACCGCCAATGTGAGCGTCTCGCTAGCTCCATGGCCAGCAACATTCCAACCGGTGATCTTTCCGGTACGTCACTATATTACACATCAAATCAGTTTGGGCCATTTTGATCAATTCATAAAGTTTGGGATAAAAACAGAGAAATTGTATTTACTTTATTTTTTGTGGTAATTATGAATTAGTGATAACAAGTCCTGAGGGGAGAAAGAGCATGTTGAAACTAGCGGAGAGGATGGTGATGAGCTTCTGTAGCGGAGTAGGCGCGTCGACTGCACACGCATGGACTACATTGGCCACCACAGGATCCGACGATGTTCGTGTCATGACCCGGAAGAGTATGGATGATCCAGGGAGACCTCCGGGTATAGTCTTGAGCGCAGCTACTTCGTTTTGGATCCCAGTGGTACCTAAACGAGTGTTTGATTTTCTAAGAGACGAAAACTCTAGAAGCGAGGTAAATAAAACAAAACTTTTTTTTATTTTATTTACGTTCTTGATTTAAAAAGCTTGATTATGTTTGGTTTCGTAGTGGGACATACTTTCGAACGGTGGTTTGGTTCAAGAAATGGCTCACATCGCTAATGGTCAGGATCAAGGGAACTCTGTCTCATTGCTACGAGTACTTAATGTAAGAAACGTTGATGTTATTCTGCTTTGTTGTGTTTGAACAAACGTTTTGATTTTGTTTTGTTAAAAAAAAAAAAAAACAGGGCACGAACTCAGGACAGAGCAACATGTTGATCTTACAAGAAAGTTGTACGGACGTGTCAGGATCGTATGTGATATACGCACCAGTGGACATGACGGCTATGAACGTTGTCGTGAGTGGTGGGGATCCAGAGTACGTGGCTTTGTTACCATCAGGGTTTGCTATATTACCTGATGGGTCTACAAGAGGAGGAGGAAATAATCTTGAAGTGGTTAATTCCGGTTCACTACTAACCGTGGCGTTTCAGATACTTGTTGACTCTACTCCAACAGCTAAACTCTCTCTAGGGTCAGTGGCTACAGTCAACAGTCTGATCAAATGCACCGTCGAGCGGATCAAAGGTGCACTGGCATGTGACAGAGCTTGATTGATGTGTTTTCAGGTAAGCAGTTTATTATTGGGATAGTCACATTTTGGTATGTATTTATGCAGAAGTAAAAGGGTGGTTAAGGAGTTTTTTTCATGGTAATATTTGTTTATTGTCTTAATAGTCTTGTGAGATTCTCCAAAGGAAGTCAAGAACGCACCATTTTGCGTTTGATCTCATTGCGTTTTGTTTGCGGGAGTGCCAAGAAGAGGCTTGAGAAAGAAAGGGTAAAGAGGTTCGGGTATTGACTTCTGCTGGAAATCACAAGAAAGAAAAAAAAAAAGAGACGTTTTGTTGTGGTTCAGGCGGTTGAGTGTTTAGCGTTTTCTTTGTTATTTTATCATTCACTACCGAACATGTTAGCGTTATTGGTAATGCGTACTGATAATGATATTATTAAGCCACTTTTGTAGTACTGATAATAATGATATTATAAGATTGTTTATGAAACTGTGTCTATTAGTTTGTATTTTTAGAAACACTCTAAAAGTACTATGCTTTTATGTTTTGTTCCAAACATATCATTACTAGGTTCTTTATTAATACCACAAATTCGTGTATTTAATCTTTTAATTTTTCGTTTATTAAAATAAGAAAAGGAATTTCCGAAATTCACACTAAAATACATAAATTGGTTTGTCGTTTTATTGAAGACGGTGATGCTACAATGATATACACACCAGTCATGTGTGATATTACATACATAGTGCTTTGTTGCCACAAGTAAACTTTTTTTTTTTCTGTAAAAGACTAGTAGTTTAAAAATATCGTTCTTGCCGGTCCTGGAAATCTCAAGTCATTTTCTTTAGAAGTGACCCACGATATTAATATATCAATCATTCCCAAACAGACAAACAAAAATATCTGGCTGGTTCATTCAAATCTTGTATACTATTGCCAGTTTTCATCCGTCAGAGTTTTTAAATTTTCAAATCAAGTAGGTCTGAAATTGGTGAAATATCATTATCAAACAGAAATGGAAAAAGTCACTAGTTTTCATTTTCTATCTACTATCTACTCTATAAATAACATCAATAGACAATACAGCAAGTGAACCCAAAAAAGAAGTAGTTTCAATGGAGACCAAACCATCAATGTACTTTTCTCTGATACCATTCTGGTTCCTTTGCTTCACCATAGTAACCTTTGCCTCATCATCATCATCAACATGGTATGGTGATCATATCTCACTGAGAGATGTAAGCCAAGGAGAAAATTTTAGTTTCGGAAAAGACTTCCTCTTTGGCACTGCTTCTTCTGCTTACCAGGTTCTTAAACCTAGTTTCTGTTTTTTTTTTTTTTTTTACTTCTATGCTCAGTTATTTATAATTTTCATTTTAACATTGGTTCTGTTTGCTCATACAGTATGAGGGAGCTTACTTAACCGACGGAAAAACCCTAAGCAATTGGGACGTTTTCACAAACATCTCTGGTTAGAAACCTTTTCGTGATTGGTGATCTTAGCTAAAAGAAAAAAAAGTTTCAAATATTTAGGGTTCCATAGCCATTCTTGTTGCTCAAGTCACCATAAGAAACTTTGTTTATACTTTGATGTGCCAATGTGTAGGAAAAATCGCTGATGGAAGCCAAGGCAAAGTCTCTGTCGATCATTACCATCGATACCCGGTAACATGACTGTAAATCTATTCATCTGATATTGATCTCTTTCAATACAAAAAGGGTGAATATAAGCTCCAACAATGAGAGTTCTTATGGGACATACAAAATAAATAAAAGAATTAACTCAATCCAATTATGGCCGATTGATTTTAAATTGGAAGTCTAACATGGTATCAGAACTCGAACACATTTCCCAATCCGAACCAAAATCAATCCAATAATTCCAAGGTTGAATCGATTTTATACGGACATGACCCGAATTTTGCGGCCCGTCTGACCCGAATTGAATATGTTGACGAGATCAAAGGTACTACGAACAGTTCTTGAAAGTAAAAGTTGTGATTCTGATTTACTCTAATAGGGAGACTTGGATCTGATGGAAGATCTTGGAGTTAATAGCTATCGATTTTCTTTATCGTGGGCTCGGATTCTTCCAAGTGAGAATATGTGTTTCACGATATCCCTTCATCTAAAGTCTTAAAAATTCTTTTTTCAAAACCCTTTTTTTTGGTGTGTTGCAGAGGGAAGATTTGGAGATGTGAACATGGAAGGTATTGATCATTACAACAGAATGATCAATGCTATTATCAAAAGAGGTAATAATTGTTAGATTCGATCTCGAAGAAGTACAATCAAAACTTAGCCCAATATTTCATCACAGGGATGGAGCCATTTGTCACGCTGACACATTATGACATGCCTCAAGAACTTGAACTGAGATATGGAAGTTGGCTAAACCCCCAAATCCGGTAATTAAGTATATGTTTACACTTACGCCTAGGTGTGTGTGTGTGTAATCTGTATACACTGAAAAAAATATTGTTTCCAGGGAAGATTTCGAGCATTACGCAGAGATTTGCTTCCGACACTTTGGGAATAAGGTTAAGTTGTGGACTACGTTTAACGAACCAAACGTTCAAGTGATCTATGGTTACCGTAAAGGGACGTACCCGCCATCACGTTGTTCCAAGACTTTCGCAAACTGCACACGTGGCGGTTCCGACATAGAGCCACTTGTCGCTGCTCACAATATCATCCGCTCACATTTAGCCGCGGTCAGTTTATACAGGGAAATATTTCAGGTAAATCCAGATTATAACCGTACCAAGAGTTACATAACAGTTTAACTCAGTCAAAGCCAGTTCTAGACATAGTCGAATAAAACCTTGACCCTTGAATTTAAAGAATTATTATACTTAATGGCATGACCCATAAATTATCAAAATTAACTTTAAAATGTTTATAGCCCATAAATCTCAGAACCGGTCCTACGTCAGTGTCGGTTTCGTTTTTATAGGAACAACAAAAAGGAAAGATCGGTATTGTTATGAACGCGGTTTGGTTTGAACCGGTTAGTGATTCTTTAGCAGATAGATTAGCTGCTGAGAGAGCTCAAGCTTTCTACTTGACTTGGTAAGATTCTGATCACAGTTCAAACCTTAAAATTAATTAATACCCGACTTTTAACGTATGAAAGAGTGCAAAAATTCCAGGTTTTTGGACCCTATTGTGTTTGGAAGATATCCAAGAGAAATGCAAAACATTCTTGAACAAGATCTTCCAAAATTTACGAGGGATGATCTTAAAAGCTCCAAGAATGGACTAGACTTCATTGGGATTAATCAGTACACAAGCAGATACGCTAAAGATTGTCTACATTCCGCATGTGAACCGGGCAAAGGAGGTTCTAGAGCTGAAGGTTTCGTCCATTCAAACGCACTTAAAGACGGTTTAACTTTAGGAGAACCGGTAATATGTAGACCAAGCCAGTTCAAAATAAAACCTAGTTTCAGAATCACCTTTGAGGTTTTTCTTTTCTGTGTGGTAATGATGCAGACCGGAGTAAGCTGGTTTAATGTTTATCCTCAAGGAATGGAAGAGATGTTGATGTATACAACAGAGCGATACAAAAACATTCCATTGTATGTAACAGAAAATGGTAAGGATGTGCTCTAAGCTAGCTAAACTTGTGTGTATGAGTCATTGAGTTGGTATCTCAATTCACTTTTTGTAGGTTTTGGTGAAAACAGTACGGGAGTATTGTTAAATGATTATCGGAGAGTGAAGTTTATGAGCAACTACTTAGATGCACTCAAAAGAGCCATGAGGTAAGTACTCAAAACTATGACTTTGATTCTTGAAACCCTGTATATATATATATACAAAGGTAAATGGTGAAAACAGGAAAGGAGCAGATGTAAGAGGATACTTTACTTGGTCTTTATTAGACAACTTTGAGTGGATATCCGGTTATACCATAAGGTTTGGTATGTACCACGTCGATTTCAACACTCTGGAGAGAACCCCAAGACTATCAGCTTCTTGGTACAAGAACTTCATTTCCCAGCACATAAGCTCAATCTAAAGATGATGATGATGCATATGAAGGAAGACCCATGTTGTTTGTATTTCTTGTTTGATTTCTTCAATAAAATTTTATATTAAGTTCCAATAAACAAAGACATTTTCATTGCTTATAACAAAAAAAAAAAAAACAATTCTCCACCTCTCATATGCATGAGGCAAACCTCTCATATGCATGAAGCAAGTTGGTATAAGATTCTCAACATCTTTGAATAGATATCAAAGAGGAATTACAAGCGAGTGTTCTTTATGGAGTTTCCCTAGCCTCCACTCTACCTTTAAAACCAAGAAGGCTACATGGAGATTCTTGCTGGATCTTTCTCTCAGCCACTTTGTTTGCTCCTCTACTGAATCTATCCTTTTTTCTTATCTCCACCAAGGAGTTCCAGCTTCATAGAAATGCTCTCCATCTTCATCCTCCCACGAGATTTGACAAGCTTGAAGACCTATTCCTACCTTTGGTTCCTTCCCATGCCTATCAATCCATTCAGCAACAGCTGTTTCCTTATCATTCTCCTCCATTGTGCAATGTTCCTTTCCTTTCCCGTAAGGGTTGATCCCAGGATTCACCGTCTCTGCTATTGCTGCTGGCATGTACATAGAGTCACCAACCAATGGTGCTCCACAAGCTGCAAGCTGGGCCCTGATCTGAAGGAAACCATTAACATGTTCAGAAGAGATTCATGTTTTCATGAAGGGGAAAAGTGTTGGATGAATCCAACCTGGTGAGTCTTTCCTGTTAAAAGGTTTATTGTACATTCGTAAGCGAAGTCTTTTGAAGTCCATCCACAGTCTTCAATATTATGTTCCTTCTCAGTAGCTGCATCTGGCCAAGGTATCTTCTTACATTCTAATATCTCCAGTTGACACAAGTGCCAGCCTTTGATCGAATCTGCATTTCAACGAATATCAATATTGTCAGGGAAACAAACACAGAATCATGGTTTTGCTGATTCTTGACAACTTCAAATGAAAAGTTACCTTCGGATACGAGTCTTGGAGCCATATTAACAGGGCGCATATAATGTGAGATGATTCCACAGGGAAGAGGTGCAGCAGCAAGAGCACGATAAAGCTTCTTCACTTCTTTATTCTTGAATTGAAAAGAAGTAAAAAAAGATACAGTTTCAGCACGTCTTATTGGTTTTCCAAACAAACTAAGTAGAGGGAAGCAAGCAAAACTCACTCTTATCTTTGTGTGGAAGACCGAGCAATACTCTTTTGTCCTAGCAAAGATGACACTACATAGAAAGAAGAAAAACAATGAGACCTGGTCACTTCTAAATGCTAAATTTACAAAGTTTAAAGCAGAAAAGTCTTAAAAAAGGAAACTAAGTACCATCCTTCTGTACAGTTATCAATCTGATGTGTTGTCTTCAATGGTTCTGCCAAATCTAATGCACGTGAGGCAAATGTCGCACAGCTCTCTTCTATGTTATCTGTGGTTCCCCCAACCTGAGAAATTAAATTATATAAAGAACACATTTTGTTACAATCTCATAATGTATAAAGTTGAGTCAAAAAATATGCACAAGAGGAAGTACTTATATACAAGAACTCTAGTGGTCAAGAACATTGAGAAAAGAAAGTGTAATGGATATATAAAGATTACCGTAGTGCCAGCAGGTTTATCCAAAACGACATAAGAGTCAGTCACAGCAATAATCCGAGACTTCCAATCAATTTCATAACACCTGAATACAATCCATCACTATATTCACCAAAGCTTCCCAATCTTTCTAAACCACTTAATGTATATATTTCTATTTACCTTGGGGAACGTTTTGGGTGAACGTGGACACGCAAGTAAGTCCCAGCTTCAACAAACTGATTAACATGAGTGACACGAAACGTCTTCTGAGCTTCTCTAACGGTTTTACCTTTAATAGAAGTTCTCTTGCTCAGTACCGAAGGAGAGGTCACTTCTTTAAAGAGCTTAACTTGCTCAGGAGTCGCAGTGAGTGGAGGCTTAGGACACACAAGAGCGTAATGCACAGCTCCAAATTCAATAAGGTCTGCAACATATCTTCATAGAATCAAACCTTTAATATTAACATTTGATGACTCTAATTCCTTTCTTCTCTAAAACATTGTTAGTTACTTACAAAGGAGGAAGATTTAAATGCTTAGAGATATAATCAGCAACACGAACGTCTTCTAAAACAACCATATGTTCAATCCTTGGAGGAAAGTTGTGTGCAGGACATGGCATCAACCGATTGTATTCAGGGTATCTGAAAAAGGGGCCACGTGTACACGTAAAGGATCGAACTTTGAATGAGTAGAGTGAAAAAGAATCGAACTTTAAGCATACCCTGAAGAGGCGAGAGTGGTTTGATTCGTGGAGTCGGTTTGAAGTGAAGACAAGCAAGTGAGTCTCCTTGAAGAAGAAGAAGTGAGACGTGGAGAGTGTTTGTAGTGAAGTAACGGAGTGGTGAAACGGGTGGATGCTAAAGTGCGGAGGAGAGAGAGTGGGGAGGTGAGGTTCCGGTAACCGGTTGTTAACGCCGGCGACGCCATGGTTGGTTGAGTGATTGGAGTTGTGGTAATGCCCTAAAGAATCGTTATCGTTATCGCGCCACAATATAATTGGGCCGAGATGATGATAATGTATTGGGCCGTAATGATATGAAGTTTGGGCTAGATATAAACTTTGGTTTTAGTATAAAAGAAAAAGGAAGTGGGAACTATAAATGACAAATATAAACTATACAAATCTATATTATTATTTGCAAATTCATTTTTATTATCCGAAATTTCAAGTTAAAAATTAAAATATTTAATACCGTTTATATTTGTAATAAATAAAAATGAATTTAAAATTTATTTATTTAGATAAGTGATTAAAATTAGTGATAAGAAAAATTATCCAAAATTTAAACATATATATTAAAATATAATATAATCTTATATATATTTTGTTGTTATCAAAAAGATATTAAAAATTCAAAGACAGTAAACACATAATTAAATATTAATCAAATAAACTTCTTAATTTTGTATAACTGAAAAAGAACATTGAGTGTTTTTTTAAGATTTATTCATTAAAAATCAACATAGTGTACAAAAAAGTTTTTAGTATGTAAATAAATTCAACTGAAAACATAAATATTAATTTATCATTATAGTCTAGTAGTTATAAAATACTTAAAATCGCATGTGCGGACTAAACACCTAATAATAATATACAAGATGTACAAAATTAATAGTGCGTGAAATTTATAAAAAAAAAAAAAAGATGTAAGGAAAAATATAGTTTTTATTCAGATATGAATAAAATCTACGTTAAAAGTTTACACATATTAGTTTGTATTATTATGTTCTTCATAAAAGAAACACCAAGCATATAAAATAAATTTATTTTAAAAAGATACTATATTTAAAAATCTGAATATTGATAATTAAGAATAATTATAGTTATATAATAAGATTTTGAAATGAACTTTTGAACCTCTTTTATTTTTAAAGGAATTGATATATATATATATATATATATCAATTTGTCAAATTGTGATTTATGAAACAAAATATTTTGATAACATAAATATTCGTGATATAACTTATTCCTGAGTTTTAATAAGGATCTCTATCAGTTATAGATTTCAGAGATTTATTTGTTTCCATATCACTATAGATCTTAATTGAATTGAAATTAATCAAATTATTATGTTCCTGACTTCAGGGTAAAAAAAAAAGAAACATATTTAATCTAAATGAAAATCAATCCACGGCATGATAGAAGGAAAAGTGATTGGATTAATCTTATCATGATTTATGGAAAGAACGATCATACTTATGCAAAGAGAAATACCATTGCTTTTAAACTTTAAAAGGTTGTCAAAAAAAAAAAAAAAAAAAACTTTAAAAGGAAAAAGTTTGGTATAGTATATAGCCAAAAAAGGTTGGGTTCTTCGAATATTCTGAATTAATATATAATATTTATCAACCGAATTATATTTTGTCTTCTCTCCAACAACCTTGTGGCATTACATAGAGGATCATTGCCTTTTCCATTCTGCAGCAACATGCCTTTGTTAAAATCTCTATTACTGATTCATATTCTAAGAACCACGTTTATTATAAACATAGCCGCCTCAAATGTTGATAGGGTACTAGTTCTTAATTTGTAAAAGTTAAAATTGAGATTAACTGGACTTTTAGAACATAATAATTCAAATACAGTAAAAAGGAAAATAATTAATAAAGAAATAGATGAGTGACCAACCAAAGTAATCATATAAAAAGAAGAAACCATTTTCTATAACTTTAGCTTCAAGCATCTCCACATCACTTCATTACCACTTGATCAATAGAACAAAAGAACAAAAAAAAGAAGAAGACAGAAGCTGCTCACAACTCATCAATGGCTGCTCAAATCCCCATAGGGACACGAGGAACTATCGGATCACTTGTACGTAAAGAAATCGACTACTTCAAAAACTTCAACACATGTCCCCAGTACGATCCACGGAGAGGTAACTCTGAAGAGAACACAAAGGGCTGTGAACGAAGAGATAGCTCATCACGGCTGAGTTCTTGGTTCTCTAGAACAAAGTGGAGTAAGAAGAAGAAGCGGCAGAGTTGCGGTGGCGGTGGTAGGTTTTTGCCAAGTATGTGCTCGGCGGTGGAGGTTTCCGGTGAGAATCAGGTTCCTGGTTTCAACTATAGGATCTTGAAGAATGATGAGAAGGTCTTGCGTGCGTAAAGGGTTGTTTATGTTGATGATTACGGTAAAAAAAATCAACGTAGATCTACATAAACTTTTTTTTCTTTTTAATTATGTGTTAGTTTGGTTACATTTTATAATGTCAATGAGCATATTCTGCTTTTCTTTTACCAGTGTAAATTAAAAATCAATATTTATATGTATGATGACTCACATATGCATGCTCAAGGATTTTCTTTTTGTTTGGTGGTATGATGACCTATGATTATGACGTATGCTAAACACTAAAGTTAATTCAATCCGGTATGGTCTGATTCAAGAATTTGGTATCGGTTATATTCCCGGGTTGAACGAAATTCCGCTCAGTAATTCAGAATAAATATGCTAGAAAATGTGACAAACATGGTTATGAAGAAATTTTGAAGGAGGATGGAGGCAGAGGAATGGGTGAATGTTTCGTAAACGTGCATTTGTTGGTACACTGTCTTCAGTACATACTTTTGCTACAACTTTGTGTAGTGTACAGTATATATTAAGGTATTGTTCTTTAGTTTTGTTTCTCTTGCAACACACTCAGATTTTAGCTTTACTTAGTAAGATATAGCATTTGGGAACAGAATGCTTCTTATGTTTCTCCTTATCTACTAGCATTACCAATATCCTTGCATATGAAGTAACCTTTAAAGGCTCTGCCGCTCTGGTGACCTGGTTCAGATAGCTCATTAAGCACCATCATCAAACTATTTTAGTGTAGTGGTTTATAAACATATTCTTTTTATGACATACTGAGTTTGTAGACTAAGACTGCAACTTTGCAACCACGACTAATGGACCACTCACGCTCGCTCTCTTGGTTCATGGGTTCTATCTCGTTTTAACGATCGGTCTGTTAATTTTTTCAAAGATTCGAAATCACTGTTTACTGACCTTGCAATTACCACCGATCTTTCCCCGTGTTTTGGCTTCACTCGCATGGTATCACGAATCATTTTTCGATAGGTCACTCATCATTTCACTATACTCCAGTCCAAACACGTTTAACTCTAGAGTTCTAAACGGATGTATGACGGAAAAGATAAGTCGACTTGGATGACATAGATAACCAAATCAATTTTCTTAAACATTTTCATAATATTACAATTCATGATGTTACAAAAACTCTCTACAGGATTTGGAAGATTCTTTTGACCTTAGTATATCTTCATGTATGAACCAAATTGAAATGTTGCAACTTCATTTTCATGCCAACTATATTAAAATGACATAATCATGACCGTAGCTGCTTTGATTGAAATTGTCTTATTTAATTACAATATAGTGCGTTGTATTTTATTAAATATTCAGGTTGCTTTACTTACTATGGAATAGGTCTGGTTGAAGCAGTATACTTGGATAGGAACGTCTATACTAAACTCGATATCTACACATAGCTCACATAAATTGTTTTTTATTTATTTATTTCACATACAGTGTTTTGTCGAAATTTTAAGTTAATATTCAAAGTAAATTAAAAATGTCGAAGTCATAAATCGTGCTTGAATTGTGCTTAAATTTTATATGACTCTCGACTTCATCGGTCATAAAATATTAAGAGGACATGCGAAGAAACAAGACAAAAGCAACAAGCAACCAGTACTGTCGAAAAAGTCGTATCCTCATTTCCTTCTCCTCCCTCTCTCTGATTCTCAAGAGCTGATTAAGGTTTATCTATTTTGATTGAGAAACCTTACATTTCGATCTTTGTAGATTTTGGAATCAGCAACGGCGATGACGAATGGGTGGGACGATGTTAACGAGTCAACTAACAAGCAAGATTTGATCTCCTTCTATCTCCGTGGAGCTTATGCTCTTGTCTCAGCCATCGCTCTTGTACGATTTTTTTTCTCTCTCTTTTGACCGCTTAAAGTGAACGTGCATGAAGTCTGGTGGCAATCTTTTTTTTTTTCGTGTTGGTTTTGATTTGATGAAACATTGTTTCTTTCATTTGAAGAAAAGAAAAAAAAATGTATCACAATCAATTTGGAAAAACACTATTGATTACTTTATTTGGATGGTGAGCTTTTTTATTTACAAACGGATTTTTTTTAAAACTTTTACACATTTAGTTGACCAAATTTTTTTTTACATATTTTTGTTTATATCTATCATGATTAATTATATATATATGTGCGTGTGTGTGTTTTATACTTCAAAATTTTATTAAGATTTGAATTAATACAATTATAAATTAATATAAATCATTTTATATTATATTAAAAACTAAACTTATGTATCTAATAAAGATTTAGTGAAAATAAAATTATAGTTGGATAATTTCTTAAGTTTTTTATAAATGAAAAAAAAATATTAGAATTCAGTAATTATAAGTCAATAACAAAATAATATATTTGGAAAAAAAAATATGAGGGAAAAAATGTAGCGATCTATTAGTTGACCTTGTATGTCGTTGGCAGGTTCAATTGGTGAGGATCCAAAGAAGAGTGCCTGAACATGGCTGGACCACACAGAAGGTGTTTCATCTTATGAACTTTATCGCCCTTGGAGGTGATGATAACTTTTGTTTCCTGTTGACAAATGATAGGATTTTGTGTGGTTTTTTTTAATCTTGTTTGCTTCAGAAACTTTAGGTTGTGTTTTTTTTGGTGGGTTGGGGGGACTAAACTTTAGGGTTTTTGACCTTTTTCTTTGTGTAGCTCGTGCGGTTCTATTTGGATATCACCAGCTCGTGCATCCCAAGGTGAGAGTCTGCATAAGGTTTGAGTGAGGCTCTGGTGACATTAGTAGTATACGTTGGTTTCTTCTTTGAAAGAAAATTCTGACTTTTTAAAACAAAAACAAAAGATGTTTATGTCAATTTTATATCTAGTAGTCTTGTTTTGTTTCTTTGATATCGCGTGTTTCAAAAAAAAAAAGAGTTTGTTCGAAGCTTTTAAGTATCTAATGTTGCTGTTGAGGTAAATGCAGGTTCTTTGCTGGATATTACTGGATCTTCCAGGCCTTTTCTTTCTCTCGGCTTACACAATACTCATTCTCTTCTGGGCAGAGATATATCACCAGGCAAGTAAACTACCTCTTTTTTTATTTTATTTGATGTGCGTTAGACTCAAAATCAACCACACACAAACTCTAAATATACATGTTGTTTGCCATTAATGAGCAGGCCAAAGGCTTACCAGGGGATAAGCTGCGGAAAACCTATATCGGAGTCAATGTGGCTGTATATTTGGCTCAGGTTCTTCCTCTTCCTTGTCGTTTAATCTTGTAGTTGTTCTTTGCTACAAAGAATCTGTTATGAACCTTTCTCACTTTTGTAGAAATATTTTGGTGAATCAAAAGACTAAAATTCTGACATGTTATTGGTGTCTCTCTATCAGGTTCAAGTGTGGATATTCATCTGGATGAATTATAAAAGAACTGTGGTAGTTGGGAAGATATTTATGGCAGGTAGGTTCGTTGTCTGGTGAAGGTCAAAAAATATTCTCCTTCTTATCTAAACTCTGTATTGATTTTTTGGTTTTTTTTTCTTTCTTTTTTTAGTTGTGTCTTTCATCGTTGCGTCAAGCTTCTTGCTCCACGGAGGAAGGTATGTGTTTTTGTGTGTGTTAATGCTTATCTCGTAATCAAAGTGTCGGGAAATTTATCAGTTAATGGTTTTATTGGGGTTGTCTTTTCTCATGTGTATTTTTTGGTATGCTATAGATTGTTTGTTATGCTAAAAAGGTTCCCTATTGAGTCAAGAGGGAGAAGCAAGAAGATGTATGAGGTAGTGGTTGTGCATCTTTGTCTTAGTTCCAATGAATTTTGAACATTTTGGCCTTCATTGTTTTTCATCGATTAGCCTTTGCAATTGAAATGGTTTTCCACTTTTCCTTGCAGGTTGTAACTGTGACAGCCATAGGCATAACCAGTTTCCTCATAAGATGCATTGTGGTAAGCTCTAAGATATAGAATGAAATCTTTATGATCAGTTATGCTGATGAGTATTTTTTTCAAAATATTGATTTCTTGCAAAAACTTTTCAGGTGGGTGTATCAGCTTTTGACGGGGATTTGACGCTGGATGTTCTTGATCGTCCGGTTCAGAATTTAATCTACTATATGGTAAACAACTAAAACCTTTATTACTTCTCTTTCACAATATTTAAATATGCGTTTCCGTATCTTCACTAACTGGAAAAAAAAAACGGAATTACAAAGGTGGTTGAAGTAATTCCATCGGCGCTAGTTCTGTTCATTCTGCGTAAGCTACCTCCAAAGAGGGTAGCAACACAATACCATCCAGTCCAGTAGACTTCTTTTGTCTGAAGAAAAATAGGCAAAAAAATCTTATAAGGTGAAGAAGAAAAGGGTGTGGAATCTGCATGAGTTTATAATTGGAATGCACGTTCATATATGACTTTTTGTTTGTAAAATTATCATTATATATTTGTGGTTATTTAACTTGCACGTTCTTTTGCTACATGGAATATTTTTTCTATGATTTGCTGGCGCGGATGTTTGATTGTTTATGTTGAACTTTGAAAATAATACAAATTGTTGTGTTTTAATCTCTCATCTACTTCCCTCTTGTAAATGAAGTTATTGTTGTTATTATTTTGTCTTGTCTTGCAAAGAACGGAAGAGAGTACCTTGACCCTGCTGTTATGTCTCTACCGTTTTGTGCCAACATCGATATAAGGAACACGATCAAGTATTTTGATAGAGATCATCTTTCAGACTTTATCAAGTTAACTTCAACTGGTTTTGTTTGTGTACCTTGCCTTGTTTTCACCGTTGTGTAGTTAAATCAGCGAGATGCTAAAATGATATCTTCGCTGTCTTTAGTAATGCTAAAGATTTTGTCTGGTTCTGAGGATACTTTGAGGTGGAAATGACGACGCAGGCACATGGACAGTCAAAAACTTAAATCATTGAACTTTGTTTATTCTCTAACGTTTCGTGTTTCTTTCGTTAGCCTCTTTTGACGAATTCACAAGTACTGTTTCGGTTTGTTAAAACGATTTGATGAAACAATAGAGCAATTAAAATGATTCGATACTTTAATTACGAAAAAAAAAAACACGTGATATTGATGTCTACCACATCCTCAACATTCACGGGTCACGCGGCCTACCTAATATACACCCTTTTTGGCATGTGTACATATCTGGCATCCGCCAAATAATTAAAATCAGGTTTCTGCATATATATATATATACTATATCTGTGTATGTTGTATAATTAAGGTGTTTATAATGTGCATGTATGTAAGATGAATTTTTATGGAAGTAAATAGGTAAACTCATTACTTGACTCTCTCATTACATCTCTTTTATCAGAAATATGCTTTTATAATAGCATAGTACATGTTAAATTTGAATTTCAGTCAAAGAAGTTAACCCATAATCCCATTTTAGAAAAGTAACATATACTTTATGAATAACTTTTCTTATTAGTAAATTAGCAATAAAGATCCTTTTTAGAGGAAAACTTGTCTTGTGTTAACATTTATTAAGTAATAAATATATAGATATGAAAATTCAAAAATTCTCAAAGCAAAAGAGGAAAAAAATCAATAACTTCATCTTATCATTCTCCATTTCAGAATGAGCTTAAAAATAAAACCAATGACTAAAGTTTTTTTTTGGTCAACACCAATGACTAAAACTATCTTTTTACAAGGGTTTATTTGCCAAATAACTAGAAAAAAAAAATTAAAATTTTAAGAGAGAGATAGGAAGAGCAAATAAAAAAGAGAAGAAAATTTTAGCTATTTTGTGAAATTGTGTTTTTGTATGTCTATAGGATGCAATTTCTACTTTATTCAATTCTAAACTTTATTACTTTCTAACAAAATGTATTTTCTTTTGGTTATTGGGGTAAGAAAATTCCATAAATAAAAGTGAATAAACTATTGAGAGGACGTGTGAGAGAACAAGCCAGAAGCTACAGGCAACCCACACAGTGTCCAAAAGATCAAAACGTTCTCAGCCGTTGGATCTTCATTTCATCTGTCTTTCTTCTTCTTCCTCTCTCCCTCTCTCTCTGCCATCTGACCTGTGTGTTTGCAGAAATTCAAACAACTCACCCTCTTATCTTCGCCACTCTCTCCAATTTTCAATAGCTGATTAGGGTTTCCCGATTTCGATTGAAAAATCGTACCTTTACTCGGTTTCAGCGGATTCTCGAATCTGAAGTGTGTAATCTGACCATCACCGGAAAGAAAGATAGGAGCATGAGCGATTCGAGCGTGATGATGATGCCTGTGGAGATGGCACAAATCTTAGCGACGGGGATGAAGAATTGGTGGGAGGAGGTGAACGAGTCAACTCAGTGGCAAGATGGGATCTTCTTCTCTCTCTGTGGAGCTTATGCTCTTGTCTCCGCCATCGCTCTTGTATGATTACATCTCTCCCTCTCTCTTTTGACCGCTCAAAGTCATCGCCTTTCCAACAAAACTGGAAGTTTTTGATTTTAAGTGTCTTTGATTTGAGGTGTGTTTTGTCTAAGGTCAAATGGTGTTGAGTGCTTGAATTGTCTTTTCCTCTTTGGTTAAAAATAAGAATATATATCTGGTGGCAGTCTTTCTTTGTTACCGTGTTCGTTTGATGAAGTCATGAAACATCGTTTTCTGTCTAAGTTAGTGAGTGACTGAGAAAGTTGTATGCTTTAGATCAAATTAGATGTTGTTTGACTTTGTTTTGAATTGGATTGTGGTTTGGCAGGTCCAGTTGGTGAGGATCCAAATGAGAGTGCCTGAATATGGCTGGACCACTCAGAAGGTCTTTCATCTTATGAACTTTGTCGTCAATGGAGGTGCTCATCAATTAATCAATCTTTCTTTTCCTGTTGACAAATGATTCGAGTTTTTGTGTTTTTTTTTTTGTAACTTGTTTCTATCTGTGTGTGCAGTTCGTGCGGTTCTATTTGGATTTCACCATCAAGTCTTTCTCGTTCATCCCAAGGTGAGAGACTCTGCATAAAGTTTGAGATATGTTCAATAGCATGCATTGGTTCATTTTTTGAAAGCAATTTTACTTTGAGAAACAAAAATGATAACATGTTTATGTTCATTTTATATCTTATCTTGTATCTCTGCTCGAGTTTGTATACTGTATCTTTTAAGTATTTTATGTTGCTGCTGAGGTAATGCAGGCTCTTTGCTGGATACTATTGGATCTTCCGGGCCTACTCTTTTTCTCGGCATACACACTGCTCGTTCTGTTCTGGGCAGAGATATATCACCAGGCAAGTACCTAAATAGAATTTTTTTTTATGGGAAAAAAACTCTCATTTTAACCAACCAAACAAATTCTGAATAGACATGTTGTTTCCACTTTCCACCAATGAGCAGGCAAGAAGCTTACCTACGGATAAGCTGCGGATAACCTATATCTCGGTCAATGTGGCTGTATATTTGGCTCAGGTTTAATCCTAAGTCTTTCCCTTTTTTTCATTTTATATGTTTTAGTTGCTGAATTCCTGAGATCCATTTACACACATCTTTTTGCTAGATTATGCATGTTTTCTACATTGTCTTTTGATTTTGTAGTTGTTCGTTGCTACAAAGAATCTGTGTGAACCTTTCTTAGTTTTGTAGAAGGTTTTAGGTGAATCAAAAAAACTAAGTGTGACATGTGATTGATGTCTCAATCAGGTTGTAATCTGGGTATGCATCTGGGTAAATGATAACAGCACTGTGGAGTTAGTTGGAAAGATATTTATGTCAGGTACGTAGTTTCGCTGTCTGGTGAAGCAAATGTGCTATAACCGATCCTGCTCAATCCTCAATGCTCTCTCTTTCTTTTGAGCTCTGTATTAATTGTTTATTCTTTTTATTCTAGTTGTGTCTTTCATCGCTGCGTTAGGCTTCTTGCTTTACGGAGGAAGGTAAGTGTTCTTTGTTTCTTTATGTTTTGCCTATAAATCAAAATGTGTGGAAGTTCTTCAATGGCTTTAACGGGTCGTCGTCTTTTCTCATGTGTGTTTGTTACATAGATTGTTTATTATGCTAAGAAGGTTCCCTATTGAGTCAAAAGGAAGAAGGAAGAAGCTCCATGAGGTATTCATTGTGCTTGTGGCATCTTTGTCTTAGTTCCATTGAATTTTGAAACAAACATTATTGACTTCCTTCAAATTCGCCATCTATTAGCCTTTGTTATTGAAAGAATGTCCATTGCAGGTTGGATCTGTGACAGCTATATGCTTCACCTGCTTTCTCATAAGATGCATTGTGGTAAGCTCTGGGATAGAACCTAAAAAAATGAAATGTTTGTCGTCAGCTATTATTATTCTGATGAATGTTCCTTGTATGTTATTCTTGCCAAAAAAATTCAGGTGGGTGTATCAGCTTTTGACATGGATTTAACGCTGGATGTCCTTGATCATCCAGTTCTGAACTTAATCTACTATATGGTAAGTAACCAAAACCTTCATTGATTCTGTTTACCATATTTAAATCTGTGTGTTCTGTATTATCTTCTTTCACTAACTGAAAACTGAAAAAACGGAAATTACAAAGGTGGTAGAAGTACTTCCATCGGCACTAGTACTCTTCATTTTGCGTAAGCTACCACCACAGAGAGTATCAGCTCAATACCATCCCATCCAGTAGACTTTTGTCTGAAGCCATCACACGGTCATTATGATGTTGCAAGAGAAAGAGAGAGAGTAAAGATTCAGTTAAGAAAATGTGGCCAGGACAAGAAGTTTTTAAGAATTTGCTGGCTGATGTTTGATTGTTATGTTGTGTTTGGTTGAAAATAATATCAAATTGTTTACATTTTGTTTATTGACAATCGCAATTCGCAAATGATACACTGCTCTAACTATATTAAACCGAATGGAGCATCGGGTATCAAATAGATGGTTACAAAACAAAAAAAGAGCTCCATGAGCTCACGACTCATGATAATAGTCACCACTGTCTAATTCCCCAATGGAATCAGAGATAAAAAGAGTTCTAAACTAAACCTAATGAATATTGTTATTTTCCCTAATCAAACAACACTATGGTGTTCAGACTTAACTTAGTTTTCTGTTATGGTTTATTGGATTTTAACGAGGTGGAATTCGGGTTCAGAATCTAATTAGGATAATTAAACTTTCATATATTGTTTTTCATCTCTAAAGCAGTTTCTTTTTTTGTTTTTACTGAATTAAATTTTGACAGAATAAATATGCATTTTGATGAATCTAGTTTTGCTTTGTAACAAAATGTCAATTTGTTTCTGGGTCAAAATTTCCCATGTGATATCTAAATCATTTTTTTTTTGCAACCCCATTTTATACCTAATCATCGGTCACAAAAGTCATAAAATATTCAGACTAGTCTTACATATTAATCATCGGTCATAAAATATTCAAAGAAGACGTGTGAAGGAAGGAACCTACACAGTGTCGAAAAAAGTCGTATCGCTCTCAACCGTTGGATCATCATTTCCTTCTCCTTCCTCTCTCTCTGCCATTTGACTTGTGGGTTTGCAGAAATTCAAATAACTCCCCCCCCCCCCTCCTTTGCTCGCCCCTCTCTCATTCTCAAAAGAGCTAAGGTTTCCTAAAAGAAGTGTAATTCATCATCACAAGCAAAAGAAAGTGGAAGATGAGGGATTCTAGCGTGATGATGATACCTGTGGAGATGGCACAAACCTTTCCAGCAGCAGCGATGAAGAATTGGTGGGAGGAGGTTAACGAGTCAGCTCAGTGGCAAGATGGGATCTTCTTCTCTCTGTGTGGAGCTTATGCTCTTGTTTCCGCCATCGCTCTTGTACGTTTAACCTTTCTCTCCGTGCTTGTAACTGTCTTTCCTCTTTTTTCTTTAAGAAAAGATTGGAACATAAAATCTATTATCATGTTCGTTTGATGAAACATCGTTTTTTTTTTAAGTCATGGAACTTAGTAATCAGTGACTGAGAAAGTTCTTATAATTTGTTTTCCTGTGTTACCTTATTTTGAAGTGGATTCTCGTTGGCAGGTCAAATTGATGTGGATCGAAATAAGTGAGCCTGAAGATGGCTGGACCAAACAGACGGTGTTTTATCTTCTCAACTTTGTCTTCCATGGAGGTGATGATCATCTTTGTTTCCTGTTGACAAATAAATAAATTGTTTTTTTTTGTGTGTTTTGACTATTTTGTTTTTGTTCTGTGTGCAGTTCGTGCGGTTCTATTTCGATTTCACCATGAAGTCTTTCTCGAGCATCCGAAGGTGAGAGAGTCTGCATAGGGTTTGAGTGAGACTCTAGTGACATTAATCCTCATACGTTGGTTCGTTTTTAAAAATGAAAATTCGGCTTTTTAAAAACAAAACAAAAAACGATAAGATATCATTTATGTCAAACTTTTTTTGTCTATCATGTATCTCTGCTCGATCTAAATGTTCTCAGTGTAAGTCTGGTTTTGTTTGTTTGATTTTGTAAGATCGCAACTTCTTAAGTATCTAATGTTGCTGTTGAGGTAGTGCAGGTTATTTGCTGGATATTATTGGATCTTCCGGTCCTCCTTTTTTTCTCGGCATACACACTGGTCCTTCTATTCTTGGCAGAGACAGATCAGGTGCCAAGTGGCTAATAGATTTTTTTTTTTTTTTTTTTTTGCATTTCGAAACTGAAGATATATGTTGTTGACACTAATGATCAGGAAAGAGACTTACCAACAGATAAGCTGCGGGAAATCTATATCAGAGGCAATGTGATTGTATACTTCCTTCAGGTTCTTATTGTTTAATCTTGTAGTTGTTCTTTGTTACAAAGAATCCGTATGAATTTTTCTCACTTTTGTAGAAATGTTTATAGGTGACTAAGTCTGACATGTAATTGGTGTCTCTCTATCAGGTTAATACATGGTCATACTCATGGAAGAAAGATGCGAGCAGTGTGGAGTTAGTTGAAAAGATATTTATGGCAGGTAGGTTCGTTGTCTGGTGAAGCAAGTTTACTCTAAAACCCCATTTGCTCAGTCTTCAATATTCTCTTTTTTCTTATCTAAAACACTGTACTTTCTTGCCTCTTCCAGTTGTGTCTTTCATCGTTGCGTTAGGCTTCTTGCATTATGGACGAAGGTATGTGTTTTTTTTTTTGTGTGGATTTCTGCTTATCTCGTAATCAAAAAGTCTCCAGAAGATCTTCAATGGCTTAACAATCATGTGTTTATTTTGTGGTATGCTATATATAGATTATATTCTCGATTAAGAGGATTCCCTACTGAGTCAGCAGAAAGGATGAAAAAGCGCCTTGAGGTACTCATTGTGCTTGTGCATATTTTTTTCTTAGTTCCATTGAACTTTGAACATTTTTGCCTTCATTGTTTTTTCATCGATTAGCCTTTGCAATTGAAATTGTATTCAATTTCAGGCTGTATCTGTGACAGCCATATGCTTCACCAGCTTCCTCATAAAAGGCATTGTGGTAAGCTCTGAGATATAGAATGAAATCTTTATGATCAGTTATGCTGCTGAATGTTTTTCTTTTTTAAATATTGGTTTCTTGCAAAAACTTTTTCAGGTGGGTGTGACAGCTTTTGACAGTGATTTGAGGCTGGATGTTCTTGATCGTCCGGTTCAGAACTTAATCTACTATATGGTAAATAACTTAAACCTTTACCACTAGTTATCTATCTTTTAATCAGTGTTTCTGCATCTTCACTAACTGGGAATAAACAAAAACGGAATTACAAAGGTGGTTGAAATAATTCCATCGGCGCTACTCCTCTTCATTCTACGTATGTAACTCCATCTATAAGGTGCAGAACAAGAAGAAATGGGTGTGGAATCTACGTGAGTTCATATATTACATTTGCTTTTGTAAAATTATTATTATATATTGTCGTGTTTGATTATTTAAATCTTGTTATGGGTTTTAAGTGTATGAAAATACTATTTCGTAGAGAATAAATAACTTTTAACTAAATTTATATTTAAAGACCAAAATTAAACCTATTTTGAATGAGAATTTAGATGTTTTCAAAACGGTGAAAGTACCAGCCTGAAAAATCGTATAAATTCTATTAGAGCCTAACCGAACTTTAGGACTGAGCTCAAATATTTCCGAGTTTTGGATTGAGTCGGGCAGTACCAGCCTCATTAACATCCCTACGTCCAACTAATCTTCGAATGTAAAATATTTTACAAAATCTCAATTAATTAAAAAAAAACATATATAATAACTGATCAAACCATACTAAACCAAATAAAACTGTAAAATAAAGTTATTGAACCGTATTAAACCAAATAAACTGTTTACAAATTCCTTAACGGGCCTTGGGCCATATATGTCAAGGCCATATATCTGTTTCGCTTCCCCATTTAAAGTAAGAAAATTCTATGTGAAAAATCTAAAGTGACAAACAAAAATCGAAGACCTAAAACTCTGTTTTCCTCCGCGTCTGAGGTCTCTCTACTCTCTCTCTCGTCTTCGTCGTCTTCTTTTGTTTGTATGTTTCAAACCTGTGAAAAGAACTCAACTTTCGTGTAAAACTCGCTGATAATCGAATATGTGACACTTGTATTGAGCCCCTTTCAAGTTTCTGCTTCTCGTTTTCTCGAAATATTTTGAGCTATTTGCAAAAAAAAAAAAAAGATGAAACTTTGAACTTAAAATTGTGGTGTTAATCGCCTCAAGCTTCGTCTTCTTTAGTTTAGCTTTATCTGTGATAATAAGCTTTTATGTGTATTAAATATGAGGAAGAAACTGAACATGCTTGTCTTTGGTCTTATTGGCAGTTAAAAATCTTACAAGAGTTGTCACTGATGGATCATCCCATGGAATCGTCTACTGAAGAGGTAATGGGGTTTATCTTCTTATACATTCAATGGTTTATTAGTTACAATTGTGTTACAATACTAGCCTAAGTTATTTACTGCAAGAAAAAAAATGAAGTTATTGTTTTTTTTCTTTCTGTCTTGCAAAGAACATTGTGGAGGAGAGTCATAAGCTGGTTGACTCATTGGACAAGCTTAGTGTTAGTGCTGCTAGCTCTTCCTCCAATTTCAAGAAGAAGCCTATCATTATCATTGTTGTTGGAATGGCTGGTAAGTAATTTTTCTTGAAGAGGTTTTAGTTTTGAGTGATATCCTCATTAGTAGTCTGATGTGAGCTTCTTATGTGATGCTTAGGCAGTGGAAAGACCAGTTTCCTTCATCGTTTGGTCTGCGAAACCTTTGAGTCAAAAAAGCGTGGGTATGTGTTGAACCTTGACCCTGCTGTTATGTCTCTCCCATTTGGTGCCAACATCGATATAAGGGACACGGTTAAGTACAAGGAAGTTATGAGGCAGTATAATTTGGGGCCTAATGGTGGGATTATGACATCACTCAACTTGTTTGCTACTAAATTCGATGAGGTATAAACGCCCTGAAGCTATGACATGATGTTGGCTCTCTCGTTTTTTTTCTTTCTTTTCTTGATTGTTCTTTTTTGTTTGCTGCTTGTTTTAGGTTGTCAATGTGATTGAGAAACGTGCGGACCAGCTTGATTATGTCTTTGTGGATACTCCTGGTCAGATTGAAATCTTCACATGGTCTGCTTCTGGGGCTATAATCACTGAATCTTTTGCTTCAACCTTCCCAACTGTTGTCACCTATGTGGTTGATACTCCACGTTCCACAAGCCCAATCACTTTTATGAGCAACATGCTTTACGCATGTAGTATCCTCTACAAGACCCGGCTTCCTCTTGTCTTGGCTTTCAACAAAACCGATGTGGCAGATCACAAGTTTGCTTTAGAGGTTATCTCTCTTTAACTGTCTATCAAGTGTTGAATCTATTGATCATCGCCTAACATAATCTTTTGTTGATATGGGTTTTATGCAGTGGATGGATGATTTCGAGGTGTTTCAAGCAGCGATACAGTCTGATAACTCGTACACATCGACCTTAGCTAACAGCCTCTCCCTCTCACTCTACGAGTTCTACCGGAATATAAGATCTGTTGGTGTTTCTGCAATCTCTGGTGCTGGAATGGATGACTTCTTTAAAGCCATTGAAGCAAGTGCTACTGAATACATGGAAACTTACAAGTAATGATAAACTCTTCCCTTCTAATTTTACCTTCTTTGGAGGATCTGTCTGCATGGAATATGTTTTACCTTTGCAGGATCTGTCTGCAAGTTTCATGCTTATGATTTGTGTTTTTTTCTTGCTTCAGGGCTGATCTTGACAAGAGAAAGGCGGAGAAGGAGCAGTTGGAAGAAGAGCGAAGGGAAAAGGAAATGGAGAAACTAAGAAAGGATATGGAGAGTTCTCAGGGAGGTACTGTGGTTCTGAACACTGGTTTGAAAGATAAAAATGCAGCGGAGAAGATGATGGTAGAGGACGATGATGATGATGAGGACTTTAAGATTGAAGAAGACAGTGATGATGCTATAGATGAGGATGAGGAAGATGAAGAGATGAATCGTTTCTATCTATAAACTAAACTTAAAAACCAAATCATTCAGACTTTATCAAGTTGCTTCAACTGGTTTTGTTTGGGTCCGTGCCTTTGTTTCCCCTTTGTGTAGTAGTTTAAGTTTAAACCATGGAATTGAATCTTTTTGTGAGACATTGTCTAATGATCTAATGACTATTATAAACTAAAATGTTGGGGGACTTTGTACACAGTTTGCGTTCATATATGCACAAGGAGGTAAACACTTGTATGTAAGTCAAGACATGGAGGAAAAAAACTAACAAAAACTTCCACATTATCAATATATTTATAGATGAAGAGTCAATGAATAAGTACATCATCTTCCCTCTTAAACATTATCTGAAAACACTTGATCTGTGTTTGTGTAGCTGGTTCTTGTGGACGGTCAAGATTTCAGTCTTGGTGGATTTCATCAAAGGGAGCATGAGCAAACCTAACATCTTCAGGCCGTGCAACAACGACAGGCTCATCAGCGAAAAGGGCTTTGAGGAAAGATGGAGTTTTCAAGGGTCGTCGATCAGTCATTCGTGGATACACAAACGCCAAGAAGTAGTACGCGTGACCTGCTATCATTCCCTGCATCATGGATACAGCTAAAGGATAAGGATGAATGTAAAGAAGGGAAGACTAAAAGGAATTAAGAGAGAGTGTGTACCAGTAAATCTCCCCAGGGACTTGCACCAACAAGGACAGAGAAGCCAAGAAGCACCTGCAATTTCCAAAATTCGCAAGAGATGTTTAAAACTATCATCGTTTATAGTTAGCAACTCCAAGAAAAAGTACAACTCACCCATGGTAAATACGCTGCAGTAAAAGTGAAAAGGCCAAGGAAACTCATGTGGATGTAAGGGTTTTGCTTGCTCCATACATAGACCTGAACAAGAGAGGAAAGAAGTTAAGATGATCCTAAAGAATTGGTCCAAAGTCGCAGTATCGATAGGTAGAAAGGTGTTAGTCACCATCATGAAAGTCAAAGAGTTGCTGAGGAAGATGATTTTGGAGAAAGAGACGGACAAGTAAGGTATCATCCCTCCAACGAGAACAATACCGGTTAAAACAGATGCCCCAAACAAAAGCATGTAAAGGAAATCAGCAGTCTTCCCCCTGAAAGAGTTTTCTTCAAGAAGTTTGCAGTACCGAGCAAGAAAAAACATATGGAACAAGAAATCCAAATCTGCAAAAAAACATTGAATAATAAAAGACTCAAGAAAGGCCCACTAACACAGTCATACCTAACCTTCATCAGAATCTTAGCAATCCAAAGATAGACATATTCAAATGATCCAAAGAGAGAAAGTATCTCAGAAGAGTTACCCATGTTACGGAAATAAAGGAAGTTAGTAACGAGGCGCCAGTACTGGTACTGCTTCACCACAAGAGTTGGGTTTAGGTATAGGTTATAAGGAGATATAATCTGCAAAACAGAACATAAGCCATGAAACCAAAACACTCGAGCTGCACAAAAACAAAAGCATAAGCCATGAAAGCACAACACTTGAGCTCATTAGCCAACACCCACATTCAAAAACAACACCTTTACCATCCACACACACACACACACACATACAAACATAGAAAGTCGAAACCAAGATTCAATTTTTTTTTCAACAATCCAAAAAACTTAATTCTAAACATATTAATGTCAATCAATCGATTCGGGAGATATACCTCCAGGGAACATCCAACGGTGGTGACAACAGCCGCCGTTAGGTACGACCGTGTTATGATCGGCATCTGTTTGTACCATTCTTCTACAGCTTGAGCCATACCCCAATCCGATCACAAAGAGACAATTGAAACAGAGATTCTTAAAAATTCAAACCTAATCGAATCTGTCTAGAAGCTTCTCAACGTTGAAATTGAATTTGAAAGCGACTGATAAAAAGATGATTCACAGATTTGCCTCTCTTTTTTTCCTTTCTCTTGTCTACATAATATTCTGTGTTGTAATAGTTTCAACAAATAACATAGCGCGTGTAATTAACGTACCAATAACAATAGGCTGCTGACGCCAGCGTCTCGGAAAAGGAAAGCAACGTCCCGCCGTTTTACCTTCTTAAAGACGGTATGCTTTCGGGACCAAATAAAGTAAACTGGCACGGTTTCCAACATTTTTGGGAACAATATATATATAATTTAATTTATAAATAAAAATCCAAAAATCTAAATTACCCAAATATTTTTCTAGGTTTAACTTAGTTTTTTCAATGATTTGTTTTGGTTTCTGCGTTTTAAATCCGAACTATTTTTAATTCAGTTATATTTGGATTTATAAAAAAATACTCCCTATGTTTCTAATGATCCATGTTTTAGAATTTTCACATTTATTAAAAACATACTTAAAATTTTGATAATAAATATATGATTTTCTGTGTTTAGCTATTTCATATGATTTTGAACCAATCAAAATTCAGTAAACATAATTAATGTTTTTGAAATTTGCAATTTACCATTATAGCATATATTGAAAATGTAAAATATGAATCTTCTAGAAACAAAATATTTTTCTAAAATATGGATCATTTAGGAACGGATGGAATAAAAATCAAATATGAATCCGGACCGATCCAATTCAAATAATAAACCCCCAAATCCGAAGAATCCAACAAATAAATAATTCGAACCGACCTGAACCGAAAACTCAAAAATAGCAATATGACGGCAGCGTTTCTACGAAAGCGGAAACACGTCTTGCCGTTTTTCTCTTTTTCAAAACGGCATGATTTCTAGACCAAATAAAGTAAACTGACACGATTTCCAATATTTTGGGAACAGTTACAACACACAGTGTTTACCGTTTTAAATTTATTCCACCGTCTTTCAAATTTTCAAAATTTAAAAACTCTCTACACAGAGAAATCTCAAGTTCTTAACCAACGTCTCTCTCACTCACTCTCACACCCTAACGAATCTCCATCGATCCCCAATGAACGAAGAAAACGAACCACCATGCGCTACACCAGCGCCGCGTCCACGTAACCCCCCATCCTCACTCTTCACCGACGTTTCCAATTTCAAAACTCCGCGTCGTCCTTCCGTCATCAAATCAACAAATCTCAACGACTCTCCGTACCCTCAATTCTTCACCGCAACAGCAAAGCAAACCCCCAAAATGTCGTCTTCTTCGTCTTCTTCCACCTTCCGCCGTCCCTCGCTCCTTCCTTCTCGCTCTAACCTCGCAGCAGCTTCCTCGAGGCGGCTTAGGGCTTTCGAGCTTCAGCAATCGCAATCTTCTCGCAGAGCTGAGTTGATTAGGGAGAAGAGGCTTAGATCTGTTGGTAAATCGCTAACCGTGTGGCTTAATTTCTTGGTTGAAAACCCTAGAAGTTGCGGTTGCGATCCGTTGGGGGATAATGGATCTGGTGTTGGACGTGGGAAGAGAGATAGCTCCGAGGCTTTATTACGAAGCGGTGGATCAGTGGGAGTGGATAATATGTGGAGAAGCCCTAAAAAGTTGAGGACTTTAGGTTGGTCTGGTGAGAAAGGATCAAGCTTGAAGGGCTCCTCCAAGTGTTATTCGACGTTGAAGGAGTCTTTGAAAGAAGTGTGTAGCTTAGATGATTTGAAGGAGAGGATGCAGTTTCACTTGAGTTTGGGGAGTTGTAAAGAGATTTTCGATGTGATGACACGTGTTACCAAGGTAAAAAGTATCCTTGTGTAAGTTAAAGACTGTGTCTTTTTGGCTATTTTCATTCAGTTTTATTGTTCTTTGTTTTTCAGAATATTGATGAAGGGAGGATAAAGATGAAACCACAGTGCCCTCTTGTAACTGATTTTGGACTTAAGGAGAAGGCAGTCAAGGCGCTGATGTGTTACAACCAAGTTTGGCTTCGTTTAGGGTTGTATATCATCTTTGGCGGTGATTCGTTTTTGACTGACAGTGAAGTTAACTCTGATCAAGAAATGGCGTTCTTGAGGATGGTAATCAACAAGCAGTTTTTCTCCCATGAAGGACTTGCTAGAGCCTTTGCATATAACAAGATGGTTGAGGGTTTATACAGGCCAGGGTACTATGAAGCACTTGGAACCGTGATTTTGAAGAGGATTCTGTTGCTTGTACTTATATTAGATAGAGCTAAATCTCAAAGCTGTATTTCGCTTAAGTATGGGATTGATGGGATAGATGGTGGCTCTCCCGTCTTGTTTTCAGAGAAATCTAGCGTAAAGTCTAGCCATCAACTTCTAAGTGGTAAGCTCTTAGATTTTTATATTTAGTGTGTCAGTTGCTTGCCTATGTCATGTTTATAGCGGGCTAATTTTCGATATTGTGCTTTGAATATAGAACTCTTGCCTTCTGATGTAATGCATGGAGAAGGGAATCTCCTAGCGCATCTAGTGATTATAGGGTACAAAATACCTTATCAGCAGGTAATTTTAGTTAAGGGTTAATGCAATATCTTGTATTCGATCTAGATTGCTAAATATATAATGTTTTGCGCACTTCAATATTTGGGGTGGCTCTTGCAGTCTCCTATAGCTGGATATGAATTTAGAGTGAGAGACTTGTTTAGTGACCTCCAAGATGGCGTGCGGCTCTGCAGAGCCATTCAACTGCTTCTTCATGATCCATCCATTCTCACGGTTTGTCAAAATTTGATTTCAAATTTGACTTCCACCTTTTTCGTGTTTAGGGAATGAGTTTTATTGTATTATGCTTTCGATCAAACAGAAAATGGTACTTCCATCCGACAATCGAAAGAAGAACTTGGCCAATTGTAGAGTTGCACTTCAGTATCTGAAGGATGCTGGTGTTTCGTTGAAAGATGACGAAGGGATGATGATAACTGTAGAAGATGTCGCAGATGGTGACAGAGAGCTCACTATTTCACTGCTATGGAACATGTTTGTACATTTGCAGGTGAGTGTCTCTTGTATTTTTCTTTTTAAGTCCAATTTCTGGTTCTATACTCAATTGTTAATGGTTATGTATGCTCTCTGAAATGGGCAGCTGCCTCTTCTGATCAATGGGAAACTCTTGACGGAGGAAATCTACAAAGTCCAGGGGGTGGAACAGGTAAGGCTAAGGCTTACTTAATAACTTTGGTACCTATAGTTCTTTCCAATTCTTAGCCATTGTTTGCTGTTTTGAATCTATATGTAGATTCAACTAGACGACTCTCAGTCAGATCTTTAATGCTGATTTTCTCGAGTTATATTATTTTTGTGTTTCTTTACAGAATAATCAAATCACCATGTCTACTCCTCTGGAAATGCTCTTAAACTGGATCCAGGTACGTTATTATATTTTTTTCTCCCAAGTTGTTGCTATTTTCTTTGCCTATGTTCTGGATGTCTAATCATGTATAATATTTGCATGTCACAGTCAATTACCAGGAAGAATGACTTCAAGTTGGAAAACTTTGAATCATTGGTTGATGGAAAGGGGATATGGTTTTTGTTGGACTACTACTTTCGACGAGAAATTTGCTGTCCTTGTCTTCACAAAGAGGTATGAAATGTTCTTAATTCTAATCAGTTTCACTGCGTTGAGTTTTACCTAGGCCATTTCTCTTCAAGTATCTTATAAATACATCTCGTGTTACATTTTCTGAATGAATAATTATATCCAGGATCCTCGTGGTCAACAAGGCCCTCGATCAGTAATGTCCAATACCGATTATCATGATGCAGTTCAAAACTTCATTTTGTCGCAAAAGTTGACATCACTTTTGGGAAGTTTTCCGGAGGTAATAAAATTCATCCTGTGAATGTCTTAGTTCTTCCTAACTTTATCCTAAAGAAAGTAGAATACTATAGATATTAAAACTGAACTACAGTAAGGCTCCCGCCCTTTGTTTCTCTAGCAATCGATTGACATATAATGTTGATCTCTATAGGTTCTACAGATTGGTGACCTACTGGAACATAATGCAGTAGTTAGCAACCAAAGTGTGATTATACTGTTGGCTTTCTTATCATCAAAGCTGATCGTCAAGGAGAATATGGTATTGCTTTTACTACACAATATAATTCTCCTTGATTAATTTTCTGGATGGAAATTAGGATTTCCATTGACAAGTTGTTTAAAAAGTTCCTTCGTTTCGCAGGAGCAACTGAACTTTCATAAGTTGCTGTGCTCTAGCTGTCAAGCTCAGGAGAAGAGATATTCGCGCATCAGTTGCAGCATCTCTGAAGCAGTTAGAAATGAGGAACCGGACAAAGAAAACGGAGAAGGTTCCCATTCATCTCTTTCTGACTTGCATAAAGTATATGATCTTAAAATTCAGGAAACGCACCTGTTCATTTATATGCCTACAAATCTTATTAGTGGGTTCAGTCTTTTTGTTTCCTTTATTTGTTTCTCTTAGTTGCCACCCTTGAGTTCTCAGCTTCTTACAATTGGTTGAATGAAGCAAGCATGCTTGGTGATAATATACACGTAAATCTTGTAGATGCTACTAAAACTTTCCAAGCAATCAAAGCCTGGTGGCAGGACATGGCCAGCCAAAATTCTGTTGGAGAAGTTAGTAGCCATACTCCGCAAAGTTCCTTGTCTAGAAAATGCACTATGGATTTCGAACGAGGTGATTCAAGTATTCTGTCTACTCTTCTCAACTTTTATATCCTAAGCTTGCTTTGATATCCATCACCTTCTTATGCTCTAACTCTCATAGATGGTACTTGATCGTATCATTGTACTTTATTCGGTGATTATTTATCTACTTTTCATTTCTTGGTTGATATAGTACTGAATCTATCAATATTTGATGGCATATCTCTTGCCTCTTTCTTATAGAAGCAGCAGTGGTCATACAATCGAATTTCAGGGGACTTCAAGCACGCCGCAAGTTTAGGAAGAAAATGAGAGCTGTCTGCTTCTTACAAGCTGCTGTTCGGACATGGTTGTCAGTGAAACATATAAAAGTTCTTGGAAAATTCACTGTTGAGGAAGTTACTTTACAGTTAACAGGTAATCATCTGTCTGTTAGTATTTATTGCAATTGACAGATCAACAAGTTATTCATTGGTAAAAGTTTTGTTATCCCTGCAGAAAGATCGGCCAATTTAGAACCTGTAGCAAGATATATTAAATTCATTGTTGAACGAAGTCGCTTCATCAAGTTGAGGAAATCTGTTTTGGTCATTCAGAAAGTTGTAAAGAGGCATCAGCGAAACCTTCATCATAAGCTGAAAGCAGCACTCAAAATTCAGCAAGCTTGGAGGAGGTATAAAAACAAAGTTATCTCCTCTATCACCATCCAGTCTTATGTTCGTGGATGGATCACACGTAGAATGTATTGCAGTTACAAGTCGTCTTCCGTACTTATTCAAGTAAGTATATTCAAGTCTTCCATGTTTTGCTTATGTACTGTCCATTATTCAGTTCTCAGTTGATTTTTTTTGCTTACATAAAACCACAGCTAGAATCTCTTCTCTGACTTCTTGCTGCCATGTATACTCTACCCCAGATCTTATTAACTTTCTGCAACTAACTGCAGAGATATTGCCGTGGTTGGCTTGCGAGGAGGAAGTTTCATCTTCAGAGAGAAGCAACGATATGCATTCAGAGTGCTATCCGGAAATTTAACTGCATTATAGCATATCATGGCTACAAGCATGCAGCCATAGAGGTTCAACGGGTCATTAGGGGACAAATTGTTCGAAGCAGACTTAAGGGTGATTAAGCAATTTCTATAGTGCTTTACTTTAAGCTGATTACATATTAATTTTTAACATTGGTTATCCAAATTGAATTTTCTCAGGAGCTTCTATTGACAACTCAGAACTTGACGAAGGCGTTTCCAAACTTCCACAACACAGCGTTGAGATGACAAAACTGCTACATTCAGTCATTAAACTGCAGCGTTGGTGGAGGTTTCTCCATTCACAGAATGTGAAAAGGAAATCAGCAGTCATGATACAGAGGCATATTCGAGGTGTATTTGCCAGGCGTAGAACTTTTATGGAAAGACGTTACATTGTCATGATTCAAGTAAGAAATGACCAAAGCTACTTTTCATCTTTTGTCCTTGTTCACTTCCAATATTAATAATTAAGTTCATTTTGCCTTGAACCTGTCAGTCACACTGGAGAGGCTACCTCACACGCAAAGCCGCAAAGGCTCAAGTTCTGAATCTGAGAGTAAGAATGCAAACTTCTGCGGCAAACATAGATGACAAGAAACGGTTGATAAACAAGCTTCTTTCTGCGCTTTCGGAACTACTCAGCATGAAAAAGGTCCACAACATTCTTCACATTTGTGAAACTTTGGGTAAGCGTTCCTTTAGCTTCCTTTATCAACATAACAACGTGGACAGATAGGCTATAATAACATGTTATCTCTACAGATTCGGCGACGAAATACTCTGACAAATGCTGTGAAGAGCTTGTGGCAGCTGGAGCTATAGACAAGTTGCTAACACTTATCCGGTCTGCAAGCAGAAGCATACCTGATCAAGAAGTTGCAAAACATGCACTCTCGACTTTGAGACACCTGGCTCGTTACCCACAAATGGCAGATGAGTTAATAGACACGAAAGGATCCATCCAAACAATTTTCTGGGAACTACTCAGGTCTTCATTTACTTAATGATTTTATTAATTAAGATTGAAGTTTAATCTTTTTCATTCTTATGTTTTTCTTTTATTCTCTTTTTCAGGAACAAAGAAGAAGCATATTTCATAGCATCAGATGTTCTGAAGAAGATATGCAAAAGCCATAAAGGCGTAGAAACAGTTCGAAAGCTACCTGCGTTGGTAAAACGACTACACGCCTTAGTTGAGGAGCTAACTCGTAAGGCAAACATGGAGAAGAGGTTAGTTCTTTTTTTCTTCCTCTTATAATATCTGCATTATCTAAATGTTTAATCTAGAAACATCAGCTTATCCTCATTCATCTAAGAAAGTATGAATTAAATATTTTGGTGTGATTTCAGGAATGTGAAGGGTCAGAGTGGAAAGGAAAAGAGCGAGAGAAGGTTAAAGGAAGCTGTTGAGCTTCTGAAGCTCATAACAAGCAGATGACTCTATTGTGTCTCTGTGTTTAGTTTTGTTTGAAGTGCATTGATCAGTGCACTCCCACAACTGACTTTGTTAGGTTTTCTTTAATCAACTTGGCATCATTTCTTTTGTCTATTGTCATAGTCTCTTGATTCGTGTTAGAATGACTTATCCATCAATTAAAATTCACAAATCTTGAGCTCTTGAGTTAATTCAGAGTAATGTGAAGGCTAAACATAGAGTTGTACTGAATCATTGCAATTGTTTGTAGTTTGGTACAGTTTTTCCTTCTTAATGTAGATGTGTTCTTCAACCGAATAGTGTGAAAAAGTGATTCGGTATATCTTTGTCTTTTTGTTTCATCATTAAGAATCAAGATGATGATTTTTTTTTTTTTTGTTCAACAAAGATGATGATGATGATGTTTAAATTGCAAAAAGTCCTTAAACTAGTTGATTGCAATAAATCTTGCATTCTATATCTTTTTTTTCGTTCATTCCAAAGTTGGAAAATGTACTAGCTGACAGACTCTGTTGCACCAGCTGGTGTTTTAACTCTTTCAGTTTCGATATAATTAATGCAACGTTTGATAAAAAATAAATAGAGTGATGAGAGAGGGGAGACACAATCTCTTGCAATCAAATGGTTGTTGAACTGATAAATAAAAAATGTATACCGACTTCAACTCTACTTTGCGGTTACTCCCGTTAATAAAGAAATGGAATAGAACCATTAGCAGTTTAGCACCATTTATAAATTCATACCTGGCTACTTAATTAAACTGTTTAAGTACGGTTATGATTAAAAAGAAAGCTAAACTTTATTATAAATGACTTTATTATATAAATGACTTTATTATAAATGACGTCCACAAAAAACATGAAACAGAGAAGAAAAGAGCACAGACACAATCACAGGAGCGTCACACATGAATAGAGGGAAACACAAAACATAACACAGTAACAAACAATAAGACTCGATTTTTGAATTGTTTTGAAGGAGATGGACGATCGATAACTAGTGATTATCGATATGATTTTATCAGAACTTCAGGAGGAAGTCTCGGACGAAAACTTGAGAGAAACACTGTTGACGCAGTGACGCTCATCTTTGGGTGTAGCGAAACCTTCTCCTTTGAAAACATGACCCAAATGTCCATCACACTTTGCGCACGTGATTTCCACTCTTCTCCCATCTGCCTCCGGCTGATAATTAATTAATAGATTTTTAATTAAATTAACTTTTAGTTATTTATTTAGGCATGCATGATAAAAACATGTAAAAACCGTAACAAATGTATTAGTTATACTACGTACTGTTTGTTTAATGGCACCGGGAATAGCGTCAAAGAAGGCAGGCCAGCCACAACCAGAGTCAAACTTGGTGGTGGACTTGTACAGAGGAGTTGCACAACCAGCACATGAATAGGTTCCTTCCTCGAACAGTTTTGTATACTCTCCTTTAAATCGCTCCCTAAATCAAAACAATTACCATAATTATAATCAGGAGGAGACGTTTTAAAAAAAATAAAATGATCCCATTGCGCATGCATGATGCGACGATTGGCACATGGCGAATGTAACATGCATCGACCAGCACATGGTGTTTTGACATATTTGACAACGTTGTCAATTTTATATGTATTTTTATTAAATATTGAACATGTCTCCTATTAGAAAGCGCTTTTCAAAAAGAAAACATACCTCATAGTAGTTTCTATATTAATAACATGTTATAGTTAACTTTTTGTTCGTCCGACAATTCTTGGGCCAAAACTACTAATGTCGACTTTGTCCTGTTTTTAATCTCTTTTTTTGCCAGGACAGGCTCTACTTAGGATTATATATTGTTGTAATTCTTACAAACCCTCTCATAGTTGTATGAATTTCAAATATTTGGCAAAGAAAAAAAACTACTAATGTGAATACCTCTATAACATTTGGTTAATTATTATGTAAGTGTAGAGAAACATGCAATGAAAATATAAAACTTAAGAGGCTAAAATGTATCTGCTTACTCTGTGCCCTTTTCCCTGAGAACTCTAAATTGTTCAGGAGACAAAACCGCACGCCACTCATCATCGTGTTTCTGGCTTGAGCCAATTGATGGAGTCGTCAATGTTGCCGTGGTTGCCATGTTAAGAAAGATGCTTTGAAGGCGATGGAGAGATAAGCTTCTTATGAAAGAAATTGATTTGTGAGCAAGTAGAACGAGAGGGGCGTGGTATATATACACGTCGAAAATAGTTTCTAATATTTGGGTCTAAACGTGATGAAAAAAATCCTAGAAATAAATAAAACTAATACTTGTAGTAAAAAAACAAAAACAAAAATTAATACTACACGATTAAATTGAACAAGCGTTAGGTCCACAACTCTGGCACGCGTAGATCTGGATCTAATTGACAGCACATAAATAGATAAATTTAGCTGACTAAATAAAATCAAATATGTGGCAATGTTTGAGAATGCGTACGATGCATACTGAACAGGTGTAGTGAGCCTTCACTTGATGCCTAAACCCGTTTATGAGCCACTTAGTCTTCTGAAGTCTGCTTAATGGCCGTCCACTTAATGTCTAAACCATTTGTTTAATAATACCCAATCTTAGTAAAACCTAAAAGCAACGTTGAGGCTGTCATGTAAACCAACCACTTGGCAGTTTTGTCAAATAAGCATGGCGACTCTACTATGTACTTTTGGAAGTTTCATTGCTTTGTTCGTGATTGTTATAATGTAGGTTGTTACTATGCATTGGTGCACGTTTTTTTTGCTGCCTGCTTTGCTTTTGTACGTTCAACGTAAAATGCATTTTGGCAAGAGATTCGAGAAGACCACATACACTAGAATTTCAAAACTTATATATTCTTTTCTTTTTTTTTTGCATCAAAATTTAAATAGGGAATTTGGTAGAAACCCAAAACAAAGAGTGAAATTAAGAAAATGCTTTAAATGTAGTCCAACTTTTCTGCTGAATGATTGTAACACTGTACCTTAATTAATATATGTGTATAACCTTTTTCAACAACACATCCTTTAAAATTGAACTGCAACAGTTCTCTCGAGTCTGGAAACGTTATATAAAGATAGGTAAGTTTACAAATTGACTTAATGATTGAGGTTGGGTAGAAATCGTGTGTGGTTCGATGAAGTGTCTCCACGGCGTAGAGCATTTGCTATTTTGCTTGATGAAAGCAAGTCTATAATACAGAGCAAGTTTGCAAATTTTTTTATTTAGAAGAAAAAAAACAAGACGAGATAGTACCTAGAATCTATGTATAAATTGTATTATACAGAGGAAAATTGCATTGTATCACAAATAAAATACACATGCCAGAACTCCGATAGAGAACAAGAAGGGTCCGAGTAATCTCGAAGATACCTACAAACATGAAACATGTGATGTATCTTCATTTAAGAGCAGTGGCAGATGTACAGCCAACAAAGGTTCACGAGCAATGAAGGTGGACAGCCAACAAATTAACAATCGGGGCCATGTCCACCTTAGAGTGTTGCCTTAGGGCCCTATATAATGTAAAAACTTGGGACCCCAAATTTGTAAAAATATTTTCTTTGTATTAATATAATTTTAGTTAAATTTCTACCAGATTTCACATCCAGTTTTTGTTTGAAAACGTACTTTTTGTTATAATTTGTTTTAGTTAAATTCTTGGGACTTTAATTGTTTTCTTAAACCCATCAACTTCGAACTCATACATATTAGGATGATTTTTGTGAAACAAATCATAGAATAAAAATCAATGCAATTTTTTGTTAACTTTAAGCTTTTATCTATTATTATTTGTTTTATATATTTTATATCCTTTGATTTAAATATAGCTAATTATAAAAATATTTTAAATCTTATATAATAACTAAAATTTTAGGGCCATGAATATTTTTAAAATATCACAATTTATACCTTCATATTATGTTACCAACTTAATATTTTTCATCACATTTTAGACTCATTTTATATATTTTGATAATTTGGTTAAATTTTTCAAAGATAACAATTATTATTCAAATTTTTTAACATTCTAATCTTTTTGTATCACTTTTTTTTCAGTGTTCATTCCATGTGTCAAAATAAGTTAATTTTAATTATTTAATTTAAATATTGTACTCTTTAGATTATATAAACAAAAATTTAATCTCACTTCAAGCCGGAAGAGGTTATCTCTTCGCACGACACCACAAACATCTGCCTCTATAGATGTTATTAAAAATATTTTGTTTACTAATGAAAATAAATTTTGGAGAAATTGGTTAACTTTGGTCTTCTTAATACTTTAAACCAATTCTAAAAATCATTCGATGATGTTTAAGCGCATTCGAAAGAATTATTGTTTAGGTGGGCGCCTAAACCAATTTTTCTAGCGTTCATAATGATTTTTTAAAAAAAATTGATTTGAAAATTTTGATTTGTTGTAGGCGCTTAGATGTTAAATATTTTTTAAAAAAATTTACAAAATTTTTATTTATCTATACTATTAAACTGAAATATGTTTTGAAAGTAACCCTTATTTCGTCTTAATATCTATAAACTTGTGGCATAAAATTAATTATATCAATAATTTAATTATTTTATTATATTATTCTCTATCAAAATTTACCAAATTTTTTTAATTAACAAAAATAATTATTTTATTTAATTATTATGTAACTAAATTTACCAAAAATACCATTATCTTCTAACCATATTATTCTCTAATCAATTATTTACAATAAATTTAAGAAATTTATTTAAAATTTGACTACAAAATTTAAATGTTATATATTCATGTATATTATTATTTTGTTTTACATACAAAATATAAACCAGAAATGTTTCTTAAAACATATAAAGTTATTTTCAAATATATGTTAAATAATTTGATGATAATTCACACACACACACACACACACACACACACACACATATATATGTATATATATATATATTGAGTTATAAGAATTCAACAAATAAACTTAAATTATTGTTATCCTTAAAAATGAATATGAAAGTAGAATTTATTTGGCATATAGAAAAATTTACAGACATATCTATTGATCTAACTAAAACATAAATACATTTTATTTTGGAAGATATATTATTAGTATACATCATGATAGTTTAATTTATAAATAAAAATAATATTCGACAAATAGGTTATATGACATATCATTTTGACTGATTTTATATCTAATTATAATATGAATAATTAACAAATTATAGATAATATGGACGCATGTTTGTGCAAATATTATATATTATAAATTGAACAAACATACATATGGAAAAATATTTGTACAACTATTACATTCATATGTGTATTCTATTAAATAAATATCGGTTTGGGTTCACGAATCAAACCCTAACCCTAGTTTATTATTATTTTAAATATTTTTTACAGCCTGTTTTAACACTGGACCAACAAAAACCTTGAGACTGATACCCATCATAAATAACCAACTAATTAACAAGCACGTCCAAGTCCAACATAATTGTCCGGGACCAAAGTAGAAACATAATTAGAACGTGCTCGATGAAGACACCATCTTCATTTTTGGTTTTCTATGTGAGAAGCTAAGAACCTAACCCGAGGTTTTAAAGTGGAATTTTTATCGGAAGTTAAAAAATTGTTTCTTAATTTTTAACTAAAAAGTTAAGAACTGGTTTTTAAAGTCTCTTTAAAAACCAATTCTTAAATTTTTAATTAAAATTTAAGAAACATGTTTTTAACTTCCACTAATAATTTTATCTTAAGAATTTCGGATTAATTATGTTCTAACAGCTCAAATAAAATCATTTTAAAATTATAATTAGGATATATATACGGTGACGTTTGTCAGTTTCAAGTTTTAATTAATTAACCGAACTCACCCAAGTAGGGGTGGGCACATGCCGAGTAGGTGTTTTGGGTATATCTAGTACTTGGCTTAGTTTATACGAGTAGTAAATATTTTGACTTGTACTTGGTTTGCTAAAAAAAAGTACTTGCAATTTCAAATACTTGCAAAAAAGTGACGGGCTTGTAAGTTACGTTACTTGATTTATTTTATTATTTGTTATTTGTAAATTACTTATAAATTCATTCATAACTATTAGTAAACTATTTGATAATTCATTAGAATTTAAAGTTTAATAAATCTATTATATAAATAATATATCATTATTTTCTTGTATATAAGTCATTCGGAAAATGTAATATATAAGAAAGAGAAAACTTCAAGATGTTTATATTAATACATCATTTATGTTTGATGTATTTATGAAAATAAAAATAGAATTGAATTATTTTACTATGATTTAGGAAAATATATCTTTGTTCATTAACAAACACAAATATAAAATAAAACAACGTCAAATAATTAATTTATTTAATATTTATTTTATACTTATAAATAATTTAAATCCATTATTTGTACTTAACTTGTTCGTAATAAATACTAATTTTTAAAGATCATGCATCCATCAAGTACTCAATAAGAGGCAAACAACGAATAATTGTGATCACCAATAAAATATAATACATAAATTTTAATTAACTAATAAAATAGATATTAAATATTTAATCAACCAAATAATATATAATACATAATAGGATAAGTAAAAGATAACAAGTAACAAACCAAGTAACAAGCCAAGTAGTTAAAAATAAAACTGAACTTGATACTTGATTTGTACTTGCAAGTAATAAAATTCGTTTACTTGTTACTCGTCTTGATTGTAACAAATATTTTTTTTTTCAAACTACATCGAGTTAAATAGCGAGTACAAACCAAGTATCAAATATTTGTAACCGTACACCAATTTGTTATAACCAGTGGTGGAATCAGCTTATTAGGAAATGTGTCAATTGACTCACATGACATTTAAAAAAATCTACTTAGGTTTTATCATTTGCTTAACATTGACCCAGTCAAATAATATTTTTGACCTTCATCACCCTTTAATTCAAATATAGTCCACCAATATTTACGCAGTTTTTTAGAAAAAATAATATTTTAATCCCTATTAATAATCATCGTGCCTCCACCACTGATTATAACTGATAAAACTTTTGTTTTTAAGAGTAGACCTATCAGTAAACTTTGGGGAATGGTTTAGACCATCTTCAATAGGGGTTCTATCCCATTGGAGTTTTAAAACCATATGTGTATATGT